CCTTAGTTGTAAGCTGAGTAGCGTTCGACCTAGACTCATAACCAGAATAAATGACAATCTTCGCCGAAGACGAAGCATGAAGCAAACCTATAGCTCTCTTGTTACGCTTATTAGTTCATTAGAACGGGAAATAAGATTAAACTAACAGTTTTCGAAGAGCTATGCTCACCTTCAGACAACTTTCAAGCTTCTTCTTGCCTTACGCACTTCTTTTCTTGGTAATAACCGTCAGCACTGCTAAAAGTTCCTCACCCGAACAGGACTTGTTTGCTTTGAGATAAATTCTTTATTTGACATGAATAATGAAAGAAAAAACAAACCAACCACTAATGAATACGTCACGGATATGCCACGCCCGTTTCGTGCCACGCCTTTTAGCGAACGTATCAACAACCCTCTGGAGAAATAGAACTATTTCACGTGTTACCCAGTCTCCTTCTAGTGCGTTTGCAAACGTATGAATCAAATAATTATAAGAAGGAATACCTTCGATTAAAACAAGAAATCTAACTAAAATGCTCGTTAAGACAAAAAAATTGTATAATTATTGGCTCGGAGAAGTGGTGCTTTGCACTGTACGAATTTTTGAAAAAAATTATTACGTCTTTCTGCGGATTTGTTTCAAGTTGAAATCATCTTTGTATTTTGTTAAAATTTTAAATTGATCAGCAAAGAAACTCTGTAAAGACCAAACGAGGGTATTTAGCATTTATTATGAGGGGAAGACAAAAAGTCGCTACAAAATGGCATTAAAATAGTAACGAAAACTCGCCAAAAAAAAAAAAAAACAAAACAAAAGAAGAGAAAAAGTCTGAAGCTAGGAATTGAACCGACGAACTATAAACACTTACGCATTCGGATGCTGTCTCCAATGTGCTGCTTGAGATTCTTCTGTTAGTTTTGTAAATTTTAGGAATTGTATAAAAAGTGCAAGGTTGTCTCTGGGGAGCATGGATATTACTTGGAAAGAGCAGAGTTATCTCGCCAGTCAGTTTGTTTAAAACAGGGTAATTTGTTTAGTCAACTTTTCAGTGCCGTTCCACAGCAAAACTATGGCTTTGAGAACCAATGTCACTGTGAACTCCGATAAATTAGAGACGGAAGTGTAGAATTTGGCGATCGAGAATGTCAGTGAAAAACTCCAAAAAATTATCTCTCGCAATGGTTAAAAACATCTTAAGATAACACAAAGAATAGACAAACTTTAGTTTTGATTCTTTCTCTCTCATTATCTCACTAGCAATTCTCCTTACTGTCTACTATACAATTCTAATGATGCTAGTTTGGAGAATTTGGTATTGGATCAACTAGTAATCCACTGATTGATTTATTTTCCCGATTCTCAGCACTTGTCTGCTTATCTTTGATATTGTAAGCAGAAGTGTCTAAAATTGTAAGTTTACAAAAGATAAGCTATTTACGGGGCAAAAATTATTATAAAGTAAAAACCAAACATTTTAGACATTAGGTCATCATCAAGGTAAATAGGCACTGTCTGCTAAACTGCATATTCATTATCTTTAGTAATTCCTGGTGGAACGATTTTTGTAACATAGGAGTTAATTTTTCAATTTTAAAAGTTTTAAAATTGAAAAATTAACTCCTAAAACTTTTAAAATTGAAAAATTAACTCCTATGTAAAAAGTAGGCTTCAGGTGTTGGATCACTGGGCATTCAAGGATTCTTCTCTTATCATGAAAAAGGTTTAACCATGCAGAGTGTGCCAGCTGAAAAAACGTGATGGATTCTCCTAAAGGTGATAGGCAAGTTCAGACTCATTAAACGTGTTTAAATGTTCATCAAAGTGCACCTGCACATTTCTCATGGTTTCACAGATGTAATTGACACTGCAAAAAAAAAGTCCCCTTTACAAAGTACTTGTGATTTGTGAGTGTTTTAATCAAAAGATATTCTTCACATTAATAAGTCTTGGCTAGACTGAAAATCCTATGTTAAGAATTGTCACAATTGGTCAGGTTGACTACTTAGGAATATAAGAGAAGATCGCCTCAGGAATCGATGCTAAGTGCTCCGTAGCCATGACAGCCATGCAATCTTTTGTTTTTGTATTCAAAAACCGCCGAAGAAACAAAGAAGAGGGAAACTCCTACTGGTTAGTTAGATAAAAAAGACTGGAATTCTATTGCAAGTTTGCAAGGTTAGGTCCAAAAAAACATAATAAAACAACAACAACAACAACAATTTATTCTTTGATTTTTTACATAAAATAATAGTAGGATAGTTTGCCCCGCCGCATAGCCAGAAGGCTAATCGTGGCGGGGCAAGACAAGTACCTGAATAACATAAATCGTCTTATATCTTTGGACAAGGAGTCGTTATTTACACAGTCACACAGAAAAAGATAAGAAGACATTTCAACTTAGAAGGTGTATCTATGCACCTACTTTTTTAATGATCATGGGGATTTGAATGTAGTTATCTTCTTTTTCTAAGATATCAAATTGCAATTTGCGAAGGACTTTTTTGAAAGCTTTCTTTGGGAGATCCGTTATACAGCTTGGTATCTTATTCCACAGCTTTACTCCGATCCGAGAGAAGGAATTGTTTTGTATTTCTAGTCTCGAACTTTTCATATAAAACTTTCCAGACGTAAACGATCGTGTATTGTATGAATGAATATTAGACGTTTTCTAAAATAGATTTAGTATGTTTGCCGGAGCTTTATCATTACTGGTATCGTGCATTAGGGTTGATACGGACTAGTAATAAAGAAAAGTTATCGAAAGTACGTTTGCATTAAGAAATAAAGGAATTGTATGGTCATGCCAGTCTGCGAAACACAGCAGACAAAGGGCTCTTTTCTGAAGAAAAAGAATTTTGTTAAGATAAGTCTTGCATACCTGGCCCCTGGCGGCAAGACCATTGGTTAAATGTGACTTATAGATATTCAATAGTATTTTTCGAGGTACAGAGTGGCGTAGCTTTGCAAGTAGCCCAACATTTTTACAAATTTTTGTAAYCGAATAGAATCAATGTGGTATTTCTAAGAGAGATTCTGATCAATAAGAACGCCCAGATATTTTATGTAAACTTTAGACTCGAGACGAACATATTTATTCTTTTCGTTATCAAAAATGCAGAGTTTTGGTTGCCAAGCCAGTCGCTTTTGGTAAGAATGAAAAATTACAAAGTTGGATTTTTTAGTGTTAAGAGTTAGTTTGTTGGCTGTCAACCAGTTATAAAAGTTTTGTAAGTCGTTGTTGACTATTGTTTCTAGGTCTTTCAGATTTTTGTCCGCATACAAAATGTTAGTGTCTGCAAAGAGGTAAAACCTAAATTTATTCGAGCATCTGTGGATATCATTGACATATAGCAAGAATTGATCCTTGAGGAACACCACATCCAACGACAACTTTATCTGAAATACAATGGCCTACTTGCGTTGTTTGTGTGCGATTTTTAAGATATGAGGAGATCCAATCATTAACTAATCCACGAAAGCCATTAATAATGATTGAGTTTATCAAGCAAAATGTCGTGATCGACGATGTCGAAGCTTTTTTGAGATCAACGAATCATATTCCACAAGACAACAATCGTTGATTCATGTTTGCCTGTATATCATTAACAATGTCCAATATTGCGTGTTGGGTTGAATGCCCCTTACGAAAGCCGTATTGTGAGGAATACAAAAGTTCGTGTTTCTTTATGTAGCTCGTCGATCCATTTTTAATTATTTTCTCGAATACTCAGTTAAAGTTTGAAAGTAAAGAGATAGGTCTGTAGTTGTTTGGGTCAGTATCATCGTCACTTTTAAATACTGGTGTAATTTTAGCAATTTTGAGCTTTGATGGATAAGTCCATAATCTGATCGATGTATTAAGTGTCTCTGAAAGGACAGGAACTAAGACGGTACTCGAACATTTGAATAATTTGGTTCATGAGGAGTATAAACCATACGATTTATCATTTGGTACAAGTATTATTTCTGACAGTAATTCTTCTGTTAAAACGGGTTGAAAAAAGAAGAATAAAGTTGGAGATTTGCAATTATCAACATAGTCTTGATGATGTTTTCGGGGAGTGGTCACTGAGGTTATTAGCAAGTCTGTTTCCGACTGTTGCAAATTTTTCACTAATAATATTAGGTATCCGCGTTCCTTCCTTAGCAATTTTGTTGCGATTGTTGAAATCCTCTAATGCAGATATGGCTTTTAAGTTTTTGTTCCGTCGATGTAAAAGTTCATTGATTCCTTGCCAGGTTTTTTTTATATTGCCCATATTATTTTCAAAAAAGTCGTCATAATATCTCCTTTTGCTTAAGCGTACCAGTGTACAGATTTTATTTCTATAGTGTTTGTACCCAGCGTTGTCTCCAGTAGCATATAATTTATTTTTGGTCTTAATCGCCGCTTTAATTCCATTAGTTGTCCAAGGTTTAGATAGCAGCTTTGATTTCCAATTTTACATATTTTTCACGGGGGCGTGTTTTTTAAGAATTGTATTATACTTGTTACAAAACGATGAAAACAATTTGTTCACATAATTTGATCCATTTGCAATTAATCGATTCCAGTCAACTTCAGACAGGTCATCGTCAAAGCGATCAGCGGAGAATCTTGAATAGTCACGTATTTTTATATTTTTTTCTTGTTGAAGTTTATCTTTCGCTGATGTTGTAATACCTGAGAACTGGGAAAAATGATCACTAATAATCAGAAATAATGTTTCCACTAGCGAGAAGGTTGTCAGGATTGTTAACGAAGATATTGTCAATCAGCTTAGCAGAAGTTCTGTGAACGCGCGTCGGTTTATCCACTGTTGGAATACGATAACAGCTTCGAAGAGAGAGTAAAAAATCTTGGCTTATATTAGATGTTTCATACTTGAGTAGATCTATATTAAAATCATCCATGATATAAATATCCTTGTTATCTGACACCATTTTTTCTATTGTCTTACAACAGAATGTGTAGAGTTTCCTGACAACTCATACTTGTTACTCAACTTACACTCCACACTAAAACTGTGTCAAAAGCTAAGAGATGTCAAATTTATTATGTTTTTGTAACCAGTTGATAACCGTTGCTACCTCTCTATCTCTAAAACCTCATAGGCTGTGGGTTATTTCGAAACAGAAGAGGAGATTTATCATACAACAAGCTAAGAGTATATCCCCACTTAAATTTGCAATCAGCAAGTCTTGTTTTTCTTTTTCAACTAATGATGTATCATCCATGTTATAAATTTTCTACATTTGTTTGTGGTTCTTCATCAAACTTTTTCTTGACCTCCTCTGGAATCTGCACTTGTTTTAGATCCTGCATGGATGGTTCTGGTTCATCTGCTATTAAAACTTGAATCACATTTTCACACGACTTCTTTGCTTTTTCATCTACTTCCCAATTAAATAACTCCTTCAGAATAACATACACATTAAACTTCCTCAGCACCTCCCTGCCATGTTTCGTGGAACACAGCTGAAAAAAAAATCAACAAAACACATTGAAATGAGGTTTCTGGTGATTTGGGGGCAAATAAAGCAAACAAACCTAGTAAGAACACATTGAGCACTGCAACATAACTTTAGATATAAGAAAGGGTGTAAATTAGAGAACAACTTTAAGAAGGAAAATTTATTGTTTTGTGCTACTGAAACCAGCATATTAGAGAATGCAATTTTTTTGAGCTTGCCATTTGACCCCATAGCACTAGTCCCCAATTCAGTGACTTTCTCTGAATACTATAGTTAGATGTCAAAATGTTTTTCTTATCACCATAGCCATCAAAAGGCTTGCAGCTTGGAGTGCCACCCAAACTTTGTTTTCAACCATAAAAAGTAAAAACACTGACAGACCTGAAGTAAGGCTTCCAGTAACATGTTCCTGATGTCTGGATCACATTCTCTCTCTTTGTTATCATCCATGTACTGGAGGTCAGGGGGGAGTTTCTCCATCTCATCTTCAGAAAACTCTTCTGGTCCTGTCAAGGGGAGTAGCAGGTGTGGTAGGATGTCCACAGCATCACTTAATAACCACTGATGGCTCCCTGGGAACAATATACAATCAACATAATACCTAACTAACAATAGATTATTTTTATCAATTCTCCTATCAATTGTAGGAGATTCAAAGTAGACAAAAAATCTTGCACCAACTCATTCCTAAGATCTCATTGGTGATTCGCCTTACCGTCTGACATACAATGCTTGTGATGTTATCTTGGAGAATTTGGTGTTAAATCAACTAGCAATCCCTAATTTATGTTTTCTTTATTCTCATCACCTGTCTACTTGATGTTGCATTGACATTCTAGGAAAAATTCTGTGTTGGTCATTCATAGCAGTTTAAGGGTTGAACACTGATTTTCAAAAGTTTTAGTTTGATAGGGAGTAGGAGAGATAAATCAAAATCAGTTATGTCACGTCTACGACAAACCTCTTGGTTTTTGAACAGGACTGAGGCTAAGGATAACCTTGTTATGATACAGATGTTGCTGCTTTTCAAATGTAAATTACTTTGTTGTCATGCTAACTAGATACTGGTCTCTATCAAAACAAGGTCACCTTTAGCCTCACTCCAAATCAAAGGCTTGTAACCAAGTATACAACTGTAAAATGGCCTATTGAAACTTACTTGTCTCAAAGCAGCAATTTTTTAGTACAGCTACGATTCCTCTTCTCTTTACAAGAGAAGCACTGTAGGTTGTGAATGGCAAAAGGCGCTGAATGACACAGCGATCCCTGTCCAAAATATAGTCTCGTGATTCTTGTAATTGCGTCAAATTCGATAGAAAAGTGGCAAGATAGTTTAGTTCAGCAGAGGGATTAAACTTCTCTTTGCACAAAATTTCTACAATATTGTAAAAACTGCATTCTTCCGACATGTTCGTAACCTTAAGAACCTCACGACATCCACTTTCTGTTCTTGTTACATTGGACAAAATCATGGCCACTTTGTCGGCGTGTTGACTACTTTTTTTGAGAGCATAGCTCAAAAAGGGCTCAATTATGTTAAATTTGAGGAGTTTATCCGAGATGGCGAGTTCTGCGGACAAATTCACGATCGTCGAGAAGGCATCTCTAGAAATGTTTGAGTTCGAATCTCTCGTCAGTTCCAAAAGGGATCTCAAGTATTCTTCGTTTTGGTTCAGGAAGTTCTTTCCACTATCAGAACCAGAGAGTCCTAAAATATAATCCAGAGCCAACGATTTCACGTCTCCACGAGCATTAAGCGAGAGAAAAGGCAATAGTTCTTTTACGGCTTTTTGGTCAATCTGATCCGCCATGTTGGACTACCGAGGAGATCTGGGAAAAGGACCGGTATTCTAGTTCCAGGTCTTCTCAGAACTTCCCGCGTTTTTTTTTTTTTGGATTCGACTCCACTCGATCGAGTGAACTGTTTTGGTCGATTGCCTTATTACAGAACTGCGTGATAGGAATAATTTCTACGCGAGTACTTAGCGTGGATGAAATTATACGTGCAAACTGATTAAGAGATTTCATGACTTTCGACAATTCGGGGTTAGTGGATTTAAGGTAAACATTACTTTGCAGTAAATGGTTTGAACCCGGGGGTAACATGTGAAGGTGTAGTCTGATCGTCCGGGTGAGTGTAGTCCTGAGAAGGACTGTTGTCGGTGGTAGTGACTGACGTTTCGACAACCTGTGCGGAAGTCATCATCAGAGTCAAGTGAATGACTACTGACAAAAATCATTCACTTGACTCTGATGATGACTTCCGCACAGGTTGTCGAAACGTCAGTCACTACCACCGACAACAGTCCTTCTCAGGACTACACTCACCCGGACGATCAGACTACACCTTCACAAACATTACTTTATTTGCATATTTTACGATTGAATAATCGCCGCCTTATTAAAGTCGACACCTTTGATTTCCTTCTATTCTCTTCCATCGTGAAATCATCAGCATCTCTGGCTGTTCTGCAGGCCTCCGGTACAAGGTTGAATTCATTGGAACTTGAAAAGGTTTGGATCGAAGTGATTAATTCCAAGGTATCATGTTTAAATCCAAGAGGCTTAAGCGCCAGGCAACTATTGTGATCGAGCATAAGTTGGCCGAAACCAAAAGACTGGAAGAAGATTCCGATAGAGAGAAAAACTGGAAGCGATGGGGCCCTTATTTATCAGAGAGGCAATGGGGAACAGTGAGGGAAGATTATTCATTCGATGGAGCCTGGTAAGAATTTTATCGAGATAAGCTTGCATGTGATCGATGTCAAAGTGACACGCAAATAGTCACAAGGCTTAATTAACAGCAGTTTCTGTACTCGTTAAGGAATTAAGACTGTGGATATAGTCATATGTTATGAGTTATCTGTGTATTGTGTTAATTTCATTACTTGACAAATCCATCTCAACCAGGTTTTTGAATATAAAGCTTTGCACCCACCCTATTGTGATGGTAATATTTTTATAAATAACAGTGAATTTGAATTGTATAATCATGAACAAAGTTTTAAGCCACCGTTCACCCACGATTTAAGGTGAAAGGAAACATCATTCGTTTTCTTTGTTTCACACTCCTGAATATTTTGCTCACAGAAAAAAATGCAATGCATTTATTTTAGGTGTCACTTTCATGTTTACCTTAATGCAAGCTTACCATCTTTAAGGTTGAATGCACCAGCTCTGAGCATTAACAGACAGACAATTAAAAAGGACCGATTTTTGTCTGGGAGTGAGTTGTTCAAATTTTAACCATCTGACTCCCAAGATCTGGTCGTTAATTCTCCCCACTAGCTGCTTCATATTTCCTTCTGGGTATGTTACAGGAATTTAGTATTAGATGAAGATAACTTCTACCCAATAAGGTTTGAGTATTCTTATTACCTGTTTGCTGGATAATGTATGGATATTCCAGGGAGAATTGACATGTTAATCATGTCTGGGATTAAAGGGTTAAGCTTTGTGAATGTTTCACAGTTAGAACTCTTGCAATGTTTCCATTCCTTTTGGAAAAAAATTGTATGACCTTTTCTGGCCAATTTTCCCCACAAAAATCTGTTGTATTTCAACCACCATCACCAGAATACCCTCATCTTTGTTTCTTGCTCTGTATTAAAAGTTTCATGGTGTGAAGGAAGTTTAGAAACCAATTTGCAAAGCATAGCTAGTTCAGAACAGGGGAAATAAGACACAGGCATTAATTGGGTTTTTGTTTTTAACCAAAAAAAAATTGTATTTCAGCTGGGACTACTTTTCTCATGACCATGCACGGTCTCGCGTCTATCGCTGGGGTGAAGATGGCCTTCTGGGAATAACCGACAGACAGTGTAGACTGTGTTTTGGTTTGGCTTTGTGGAATGAAAAGGATCCTATTCTCAAAGAAAGGCTTTTTGGCTTGACAGGAACCGAAGGTCAGTTGAACAGTGGAATCTTTACTTCATGAATTCAAAGCGTTGAAAACATTTCTTTAAGAAAAAATGTAGGGTACCGGAGGATTCAGACGTCAGCAGTCAATGGTACACAGCTTAGTGTGTCTGTATTCATACATGAAGCTCAATAATTCAGTGTTAAACTGATATTCTGAAAAGGAAAAGCACCCATTCAAATATGATGCCGGTGCTGACTAAAAACTCTTCTTTCTTGTCAAAAGTAGTAACAAGGAAATGTAAAAGTGGAACATAAAACACAATAAACCTCAATCCCTTCGGTAGAAAAATGGGCTTGCCATCTGCAATGACTGGCTGATGTTTCAAGAAATTGCAGCATGACTGTCCCCTTCATGGTCCAAGATCACAAATCAGATGTAAAAGAAGACAGCTATAGTGCTTTGAACTTGAAACCTTGATTTTGGAGGAAAATAAGTTTCTAAGGCTGTTTAAGACAGAGTTGTGCCCCATACATGTGTTAGTCCTATTCCTTGATCAAACATCTGATTCCTAGATGTGGCGTCTATTTTCGGGTTATGATTATTAATGCTTTGACCCCTTAAGAGTGACTAGCATCTTATTTCTTCACACAATATCACCCCTGAATCACACATTAACAACAAAAGAAACTTGTGATTGTTAAACAAATTCTCTCTATCAGCAGCTTAGGAAATGTATGGAGTAGAGTTTGGGGAATATGTATAATATCTTTGCTCTAACAAGCTTTGCTTATTTTGGGGCAGGGTATAATCAATTAAAGAAGGCCACATACTGATGACCTTATCTTACATTACCCATATTTCCTAGGTAACCATGGGGAAGATGTGAAGGAGTGCTATTACTATCTTGACTCCACTCCAACTCATTCGTACATGAAGGCTCTGTATAAATACCCACAGAATGAGTATCCCTATGGTTGGATCGTTGATGAAAATCGAAACAGATCACGGCAAGAACCAGAGTTTGAGCTCACTGACACTGGTAAGGGAATAACAATCTGAAATGATGAAATAACAATTTGGGTTGTCTAGTGTCAAAATTCCAGTGTATTGTCATAGTCAGGAAATTGCCTCTGCATGTTTCACATGCACTTATCATTTCAGTAATTTGACTTGTTTTGTTTTCATCTGTCACCCAGGCCATACTTGATTGATACTTTGCTCAGACACACCAAAGGATGCATTAAAACACTAGAAGCCAAAATACTAGCAAATAAAATAATAGTGGAATTCATTGGTCTAACATAAAATTATAACAATTTGACTTTTTTTTCATTGCTTGTATTTTTCCTCATCCCTATGGGGCTTAATTGGTAAAATACTATGTAATTGCAAAATATCTGCTCATAAATTATTATATGTTAAACTGTCAAATAATATGAAGGAATCTAATCATCAAATGGAGGTGATCCCTCAGTATTACTTAGTAGATATCACTAGGTGGATCAAAAAGTACTTGCTACAAGCCAGTGTCAGACAAACCTAAGAAGGACATCTCTCTCTAATGAACTCACAATGTGGTTTCATTTGCAATGCTTAACAAGATTATTTGGGTTGTTGAACTCTATCTGAATGTCTTGTTCACACTTTACAAATAGCTTCTAACAATACAGTGGATCAGTTTTATTTGAATTTGTCTAAATTTTGTCAAGGTGTATTTAATGAAAGTCGCTACTGGGACATAACCGCAGAATATGCAAAGAACACACCCAATGACATCCTCATCGAAATAACTGTAGCAAACCGAGGCCCAGACACAGCACGAATTCACATTTTACCAACATTGTGGTTCAGGAACACATGGATCTGGGGTTGCAAACATGAAGGATGCACACGGAAGGCAAATATGAAACAAACTGCTCCCAACTCAGTGGCATGCTCCCATGAAACCTTGGGAAAGTACACGTTTGTTTTTGATGTGAATCCTGAAAATGAGATTCCAGAACTGCTCTTCACTGAGAATGAAACAAACACAACGGTAAGTTCACCAATTCATTTCTAACCATGCTGATTGTTATTTAGGCATAAGCCCAATGGTAGAGCTGGAAGTAGGGGTATTTTAAGGCCTAACTGAGTTTCAAATATGCAAGAAAGAAGGTCACCCCTTCCTGAAGAAGTATTCCCTGACTACAGTTATCCCATCAGTGAAGGTAACAGGTACAACCCAGGGTAACAGGAGCACTTTATTACTCTGGAGCAAATTAGTGTTCTAAGAATTGAGGGGTCTCCTGGAATAAAACTCTTAGTCAATTAGAAACTTGCATTGGATCAGAGTAGGGTTTTTTTTTTTAAGTCCACCTTATAATTTAACTTGAAGTGTAATTCCTTTACTTATACCCCCTGGGTGGAAAGAGGCACAGTGAGAATTGTTTTTATCAAACAGAAGGATTGACTTACCATTTTTTACCCAATTTACAGAGTCTGTTTAATGTAGAAAACTATACAACCTTCACAAAGGATGCCTTTCACCGTTACATCATTAATGGCGAGAAAGATGCTGTAAACCCAAAGAAAAAAGGCACAAAAGTAGCTCCTTATTACGTTCTTGTTGTTCCTGCTGATGAGGAACGTGTCATAAGATGCCGTCTCATGGCTGACGAGGAGATTGTAACAGATCCATTTGCTGAAAGGAATTTTGGAGCCGTGATGCAAAAGCGAATCAAAGAAGCAGACGAGTTTTATAATATCGCAATACCTGGTGAGTGTTTCTGGCGGGGAGGGGGATAATTTACATTTCATTAGTCTTTGGAGATAGCCAGGTTGAGGGGGGGTTGGGTTTCTACGAAAATACCGGTAAATGTCCGGTAGGTGAAAAGTCTCGAGGTTGATCAGGGCTCAGTTGTAGTAAAGGTGAATGACGCTATTCAACGGATAAATCGCTATTCAGCGGATATGTGATAGTAAAACGCACTGCGCTATTAACTGGATAGAGTTTTCTCCAGCGGATAGCGTTATGCAACATTTGAACAACCGGGGACAGACTTACAGGAGCATCCTGAGAAGAACCATGAAAAACCTTTTGCTATTCTCAGTGGTTCTCTTCGAGATCAGTTTTTGAAATCTTTCATTGGTAACCTTTCAACGATCCTTACAAACCTGTTTAGTTTTGGTTGTGATCTTATTTCCCACAGTGTTAACCGTAGAATTAGCTTGGGGAAGTTTTTGTGAATCCTCTTTCTAGAAGTTTCACTATGGTACTCAGTTTAGCACCAAAGCCTACTTACTCTGTGGTACATAGATTCAGGCTTCGAATCTTTTACTTCTGACACTTTGTCATTTATTAGATGGTTTAACTGAGGAGGAAACCCAAGTATCTCGACAGTCGTATGCTGGTCTGCTGTGGAGCAAACAGTTCTACCATTACATCATCCAAGACTGGTTGAAAGGAGACCCCGAAACGCCGGCTCCACCCAGGGAAAGACTCAAAGGAAGGAATTCAGAGGCAGAATGGGCACAGTTGTTCAATAGAGATGTTGTTTCCATGCCGGACAAGTGGGAGTATCCTTGGGTGGGTAGAACAATTAGCAATCCTTTTTTTCCAGTTGAACGTTGCGCCTTGAGATAGCACCATCGGAGGCCAGAGGACAACTATTCGGGTCGGGACGGGACGGGACGGGACAGAACACAGTTACGTTAGGATTAAGTGGAAATCGGTGCGACGATTTTGGCTTCACATTTTCCTGAGTCAAGTCTTTTTCCCACCAATGAAATACTACGTATTTTGATTGCAGGTAGCGGCTATGAATGAAAGTGTGCTCTATCCAAAAAGTCTGGATGTGGTTGTTAATAAATCGGCTTCCGCGCGATTTTCTTTGCTCAACATGATGTCGTACTGCTTACTTTGCGTTTTGATTCGCTCACAAGCTAGAGGTGAAGAACCTTGGTTCAATCCTCAACAGTGACTTATACAAAAAAGACGTCCTCGTGAAAATTAAGACTATTCGAAACACTTTTTCTTTAGGAAACCAAATGCCAGTAGATCCTTAACGTAACTGTTGTTTGTGATTGCTAAATTCAAACATTTCTCTTTCAGTATGCTACATGGGACCTGGCATTCCACATGCTGGCGTTTAGCAAAATCGATCCACAGTTTGCCAAAGACCAGTTGCTGTTGTTCCTCCGGGAGTGGTACATGGCCCCCAACGGTCAGCTCCCAGCTTATGAATTTGCCCTGGGGGATGTGAACCCCCCGGTTCATGCACTTGCATGCCTTATGGTTTATAAGATGACAGGCCGCAAAGGAGCGAGGGACGACGAATATTTAGCGCGATGTTTCCAGAAACTTCTTATTAACTTCACGTGGTAAGAGAACATTACTTTGAACTAGCTGCATCCTTAAAATTCACCGCATGTAGAGAGAAAATTCATTCCACGCGATTGGAGCTGCTGTACTTGTCAACTTTGTGTAATAACTTAAAGTTTACATAGGTGGCGGGAAAGGGGTGATGGGAGAGGGGGGAGGGGGAGGGGGAGAGTGTGGTACTTCTGATCAAAGTATTGTCACTCTGCAGAGACCGGAATTTCATTTTGACTGGGTCCTTTTGTGAAGGACCGGTAGATCGTTATTTTGGTGTGAGCTAATTTTTTTTTCCTGTTGTCGTTGAATGTTTTCTCTTGGTTACTTGATTTTAGGTGGGTGAATAGAAAAGATCCTTCAGGCAAGAATATATTTGGCGGTGGTTTCCTTGGACTTGATAACATTGGTGAGCAATCTTGACCTATGCGGACTCGTGAATGCGTTTTAAGCACCAACTGTTAACTCCACTTAATAGACGCTTTAGATTTCTGAAAATAGTAGTCTAGAAAATTTATTTCATCATTATAGACCACTTTCATAAATGGCTGCTGGATTAATAATCTTTTGTTTAAATTTAAGTTAGCTCTTTTGGCCTCGCTTGAGATAACGTATTCTTTTGAATTTGTACTGGAGAACGAGGCCAGAAGGGCTAATTTGAATTTAAACAAAAGAATATTAATCCGGCAGCCATTTATGAAAGTGGTCTATACCATCAGAAGTAACGAAAATATCCTCTCTTTCCACCTTGTTATTAACGAAAATTTTCGTCTTGCAATTTTTTTGTAGGAATATTTGATCGATCGAAGGATTTGCCTATTCACGCAAATCTCTTGCAGGTACGGAATTTTGTTTTCATATCTTTAATTAAGGTCCGTTTCATTTTGTTTGTAGGCCCCTACTATCTTTGTGAGCGGGTGAACTTTGTATAAAATGACGGTTTGAAGACTCTCACTTTTGCATTGCCCAGGAAAAGCTTCTTTATCATAAGCGCTGATAATTTTATCTGTAGTTTCATTTTTTTTTAATTTACTGCTGGCAATTTCTATTAAAACGGTTTCCCTTGTCCTCATCCCAAGGCTGACGGCACTGCATGGATGGCTTTCTACTGTGTAATAATGTTGAACATCGCGCTGGATCTCTCAATGAAAGATGACACCTACGAGGACATGGCATCTAAGTTTTTTGAACATTTCACGCAAATTTCAGACGCAATAAATGAAATGTCTGACGGTGTTGGCTTATGGGATCCAGTCGATGGATTTTATTACGATCATCTCACTTCCGAGACGTGTTCTTTACCATTACGCGTGCGCAGTATGGTCGGCCTCGTTCCTTTGATGGCATGCCTTGTGCTTGATGACGAATACATGGAAAAACTTCCCGGATTCAGAAAGCGACTCGAGTGGTTCATGAAGAACCGACCAGATCTTGCTTCTCAGGTTAGTGACCCACTAGACTCAGAGAAGTGAATCAGTACGCCAGGAAAGAAGAAGAAAAAAAAAATCGGTCTCATCAACCTTGTTCTTTTACCACCTAATGAAAAGAAAAGGCAAAATCAAGTAACCTATCATAAGGCCTTTTTTGAGGCTCGTTTTCCCACCCACCGTCGGAAAAGACCAAGAAAAATTAAAAGGACATAAAGAAAACCAAAGTGGTGCGAAATTTCAAGTTAACTGTTTTGCGGTGCTCGGCAACTCCAGAGTCTTGAAACACTTTTCGCAATGTTTTTTTTTTTTGCAGGTGTCGTACATGGATGGGGATGGCGAGAGCCAATATCACCATTTACTTGCTATACCCACGAAGGATCAGCTGTTCCGTGTACTAACCTACATGTTAGACGAAGATGAATTCCTGTCCCCTTATGGTATCCGCTCCCTGTCCAAGTTTCACGAGAAGAACCCCTTTAAATTAGAACTAAGCGGCGAGGTTTACAGCGTGCAGTATGTGCCGGGAGAATCGGACACATTCATGTTTGGCGGGAACAGCAACTGGCGAGGACCCATCTGGGTCTGCAGTAAGTACTGAGTCAACGTATGCCCAACACCACTCTAGTGAAATTGTTACTTGTCGAATAGGCCTGACATCAAGAAAGTTACTAACAGGCGGCTTAAGGTGATTCCTTGGCACTGCACTTCCCATCCCGTTCTGCGCATTTTCGCGCCTAAATGCCTAAAATTAGTGACAGCTTCTTTCACTAAAGAATTGCCTTAAATCTCTGTATGCCAATCGTCAAGCGCGCATGGCGGATCTTGTACATCTCTCTTTTTTAGTAAATTTGTAAATAATTTACCATGACGTCAAGGCGATGAAAGGATGGAACAATATACCTCTATCCAAGTTATCGCGATTTATGGGAATCAGTTTTTGACTAGACGCAAAAATTCAAACTACTAAAGCACTCTGTCAGTTGTAAGACCACTACCATTCAAAGCATAACTAATAACGATCTTATTGTGCCGAAGAAGAGAGTCCACTTCTGATTTTCTCCCCTGGTACAACTTCCCTTGTTTTCCAGTGAACTATCTCCTCATCGAGGCTCTGGAACGGTATGATTATTTCTATGGTGACAAATTCATGATCGAGTGCCCCACTCGGTCGGGAAACCTGATGCGCTTGCGTGATGTGGCCCTTGAGCTCTGCCGGCGTGTTGTGTCTCTGTTTTTGCCAAATGAACAAGGACGGCGGCCGTGTCATGGTGAGGACGACAGGTACACCTATGATGTGTATTGGAATAATCTGGTGCTGTTCTACGAGTACTTTCATCCTGAGACGGGACGAGGATGCGGAGCTAGGTAAGTCGTCAGTGAAATTAAGGGTGCTTTGTTAAGATGTCCAGACTGGGAATGCTAGTCTTAACTTTAGCTAAAAAGTTTCACGTTCATTCATGGCGCCGCCGGAGTAAATCACTCTTTCAAGAACGCTTAGGAGACTGAGGGGAGTTCAGGTTTGTACTCTCGCATAAAAGGGCAGGTTGTAGTTTCTCTACAACACTCGGAAATTGCAGCGCAAACTCAGAGAATATTTACTCCTAGTCAGTATTAAGCGAATGCCGCAAAACGTCATGAGCACGTCATTTGTGAGTAATGTCGTCATTGGAAGATCGAGAGAATTCAAATGTTATGGCTTAAGAAACTGGTTTACACCTTAAATTTCCCAACCTTAGTTACTCTAACCATGCCAAACCTATGTTTGCATATTCTTTTGTTCAAAACGTTAAATTTTGTTCTCCACAGTCATCAAACAGGATGGACGGCTCTGGTCAGTCGATTATTGGAGAAGCTGGCCAAAAACCGTTGACTGTCAAGAGTTTGTAACTCACGTTTCTTTACGTCGAAGAGAAGCAAAGAACATCTTTGTGTATGTGTTTGTCCGTTTGCCATGAGTTTTAGTAAAGCAAGCCTCCTCAGTGGACACTGCACGGATGTAGATGCAGTTATTTTGATAAGATTTAAACGGAAGCAGCGAGGGAGATATCGTAGTTCATATTTAACTTTAAAACGCACCTATTCGAAAAGTTGTCTTTCTGCACATCGGTGGTGGGAGGATTTTCTTAATAGGAAAACTGCGTTATAAATTGCGGTGTTTTTAAATAAAAATGCACAAGACCGGGAAACCTGGCTTGAGAGTTTAGAAGAAGTTGTTTTCAAATGTTACATGGAAAAAAAAAAAAAAAAAAAAAAAAAGGATGACGACCAGAGACAATGGTTTCTTTGGTGCGGTTTTACGGTTTTCCAGCTAGTCAATTGAATTTCAAGAATAAGAACTTCGAACAATTTTGAAACTCATTAATTGCTTTATTTAAGTTAGGAGGTGTAAAAGTACTTAAGTGTTGTTATAAATAGGTAGGTAGATAGGTATGTTGCAGTTTGAATGAATTTTTCGAGACTTTTTGTATCTTTTTTTTGTAATATTACTAAACCCTAGCAACGAGAGATGTCATATTTTGTAAACGGGCATTTACGTTTCTATCAAAGAGAAATACACATATTTCAGTTGAAAACCATACAAGTATGTGCCGTGCAGAAATGAAGGTATTAATGCAGTGTAACCCGGATTTCTCAACATTTCATTTATGTCGAAATTTTCCTTTCCTTTCCTTTTTGTTGAAAAAGAGTTGTCTCCCCTAGAATTCTTCCAAGGGATAAAATGCAATTATTCTTGGATATCTCTTCTCTCTCTATTTCGAAAACCCGTCGGTTGTCTAAGAAGAAATCTTTATCCCCCACAGGGCCGTAGTTAGCATGAGGCAAGAAGAAGCAATTGCCTCGTCTTGATTTTGCCCAAGATTGACTTTTGTGAAAAAAAATCCACGGAAAATGCTTAAAAGAGCATTTCTGAGCCTCCAGATTTCAAACTTTTCTGGGGTGCATGCCCCCAGACCCCTTTGTGGCTCGCGCCTTCGGCGCTCGAAACTTGCCTCGTCTTGTTCTGAAGTCGGCTACGGCCCCGCCCAAAGCCCCCGCCCCAAGCCCCCGCCCCAAGGATATTTGCTTACTGTTATTCCTCTTCCTCCCAAACTTTGAATTAAGGCAAAGGAGAAAAACAATTCAGAACTTAATCACGAGGTCTTCTAGATGGAACAACCACGGGTTGCTTTGTTTGCATCTAATAAGCCAATATGATAATTTGAAGTTGTATGTTGTTTTGAGTTTAGAATCTGAACGAGAAAAGTAGACTTTCTACCGAAGTAGGTTCTGTGTGTTTTACTGACCAGGAGCTTCGCAGGATGTGCACTGGGTTTTAGCCACGTACTTCCTTTGGCAATGGCGCTGTTTTCAAAAGATTTTTTCAGACTATCATTTTTCATTACTAGCAATGTGGACGTACTTTATCATAACAAGATGGCATCTTGTTGCACCAGACAGTGTACACTTTCATACAATCGATACATGTGCGCGATCGCTAGGTGCTTGATGAAACATCACTACCCTCGGTGATAACAGCACCCCCCAGATTAATAGGTGCTGCTGGAGTGTCAGCTTGCCCAGGAAAATCAGTAGTCCGGGGGGCGTCTGATACACTAGTGCTAGTATCCTTTGATGTAATACTGTCCGCACTAGCTGAGTTTGAATCTTTTTCATTTCGCGCTCCATTTTTTTCATTTTTAGTCTCAAGAGCTACGCTATCAGAGTCTTTTTGCGCGACCTCCGTGATCGGAGCCTCAGATGATGGTCTCACGTCGACTATCATCGGAACGTCCTCGGAACGAGTCTGTGTATCATCTGTCATTTTTCCCTCGTGAGCAAAACCTGCAGGAAAATCTGACAGGACAGTTTTGGAAACTTGAGTAGGATCTCCGACTGGTGAAGTTAATGAAGTATTACTTTCTTTGTTTTGTGGTATCGGAGGTGACAGGGTTTGTTCTAAAGCAGTCGGCACAACATCGGTGTCGGAGCCCGAAGTTTGATCGTTACCGGTGTCAGTTCCCGACGATCCTTTCGTTTGTTGTGAAACTGACGTATTGTTGGAGGAAGTCTGGTAAAAAAAAAAAGATATGCCAAATTAAGAGGATGCCTGGTCAAGTGAGCAGTTTGCTTTTAAGCCTATGTTGCTGGATACCAACGAAAATTTCGTTAGGTTTCTACGGAATGTTGGTTTTTTTGGAAAACCGCAGAATCATTAGAGTGTCAGTGAAAAACACGCCGTCTAAAAGGAAAGCACGCTAAGGAACTAGATTACCTGAGGTTTGACGTGCTGTTGACAGTACTTCAAAGCCTGATCCAAAAGAGACGTTGGGGAATCTGAGAGTGTGTCCTGGCCAAGTTTAAGCGACTCTCCTGAAACCGACTGAGGTCAAGAAAATAGGTGCGTCAGTTTTACTAATAGAATCTTGGGTGGGAGCCACTCAATTTAACCAGGGGCGTTTTGTTTAGATCGGCACGCGCAAGCAAGGAGTCACGCACGCTCGACTTCTTCCTCCCACGCATGTTTTCTCTCTCTTGCGCTTATTAAGTTCTTGCTAGCACTTGCCACGCGGGCTAAAAAATTGTACCAACGATGCTGTACATTTCAGGCTATCTAACGAAGAGATAATAACCTCTTTGAGCAGACTTGCATATAGAGATGAGCATGCTCCTATTGTTTGAGATTATTATACAGCCGGCAGCGCACGTGGCCAATATGAAGTGAAACCTGTGTTCTGGTTTGCTACCCGAGCGAGCAAGATGAACCCGCATCTTGCCCGCTCGGGATCGCCTCCCTTGATCCTGCGCAAGAAAAAGATTGCACGAAGCGGACTCACAAAGTTCGTAAATTTTGGACAATGACGGCGATGAAGTCACCAAAAAGCGACGAACAAGGAAAACATTAAATAGCACAGACACAGTCCAATTTCTTTTCCGGCTCTCGAAATGACCAAGTCATTCTTGACTCTTATTGTATCAAAAAATGTTTTACTGTATAATAAATCCTTTATTGATCAAGCGTGTTCCGTTAAGATGGCTGGATCTTTCTGCCTCGTCCTTTTTTGGGGGGGAGGGGGAAGGGGAAATTTTATGAACTTCGACTTCGTTTCGGCCCGTAAAATAAAAAATTAATAAAATACTACTACTACTACTACTAATAATAATAATAATAATAGTAATAATAATAATAATAATAATAATAATAATAATAATAATAATATAAACTCGGCCGATATCCAGCCATCCTCACGCTTGGTCGATAACACTCTCCCTGCACAAGGAGAAGCACTGATTCTCAAAATAGGCACTGGGAAAATTTTTGTTATTTTTGAACAAGAAAATACGGGGAAATGTAGCAGTTGCCTTGAGAATCACTTAAGTAGTTAGACTAGAAAAGTTTTTCTTCTCAAATTGAGCGCAACAGCATTAGAATAAATACAAAAAGAACAGTCTGCCGCAAGGGCAAGAACAAATATCTGAGATTTATGAGAAGAGTGACAGATAGTGGAGGCGTGGAAAGCTCGATATCAATAACACAGGATGGATGTGACTTGTTGACCTTTCACTCCTTGATCTGAAAGCTGATCAGTTCTCATCCCTAACGACCGGCCAAAAATTACTCTACTGGCAAGTTCCGAAAATTGCCGATATATCCCACAATTTCACCTAATTTATGATTCTCTCAATTCTATTTTTGATCTGATTAATGGTAGATTGAAATTGTAAAAGACAATATGGATACTGATCTCCCTTAGGAATGCAGGGGTTCACAAGACACTGCAGAGTCGGAAGCAACTCACTTGGGAAGCCGTGAACATCTCAAAGGCCTGTGTTAATAAACCCTCTGTCGCCTACGAAAAGCAAACAATATAAATCAGCGGAGACATAATTTCGTGCAAAAGTAGTCAAGACTAATGGGAAAAAGCGGCACAAAGATTGTTAGTCACACAGGAAACTGAACTTCGTACCTTGACATAGGCCTCGTATCTTTGTCCAGTTTTCCAGCACTCGTGTGCATCCATAACCAGTTGAGAAAGAAAGGAGACCTCCACCTTCAAGAACAGAAATCACCAGGGCAAAAAATGATATAAGTGCTGGGAAGTTTTTTTTGACGTTCTGGCCGATGAAAACTAGGAAAGAAACTTACTAAGAGTGAATTACAATTAGGACGCGAGGTACTAAAGCAAAATATCGAAAGAAACACAACAAGGGCTCACAAGCAAGCGCTAAAGAACAGAGATTCCTTTAAAATTTTTCTCCTCTGCTTCCGAGAGGAAGTTCTCACAAGGATAGCGAACCTCTAAATGCTCTCTTTTAGCGATATCAATATGGTGCACAAGAAAGAATCAGGCTTAAAGACATGTCACCGATATTGGCCTCCTTATTCTTAGGTAATCCGTTTAGAAACCGTCATTACCGAAATCCTTGGAGAATAAGAAATAGTCAAAACGTATTGCAAATGTTTCTTTGGTGGACAACTCTCGGTAGGTGTTCTCAATCCACACCTCTTACCTTAGGGTCCTGCTTGGAAACTCTCGCTTTCATTATATCCAAAGAATATTCAAACGCCTGTAAAGCAAACTCAAGATATAAAAATTTCACCAACAGATAAGAAACGAATGCATAGGACATCTTTAATCCAGTACAATGAACTGGAATATTTCTCACCTTCCTGGCCAAGTAGTTCCTCTCGTTGTCCCTCAAGTATTTCCTGTCCAAAGTAAAAAAGACAAACGATGTCCGGATTAGCCAAGCTGAAAAACGCCATCCACAGGACATCTTTTGGTAGCTTCTTAGACGAAATTTACGACCAAAAAAATTGAGATGCGAGTGTGGACGCGCGGATGACGCGCGTGTTAATCCACAGTTTCCGCGACTTACTTGCCCGCCTCCGGTGTTCGATAGAGAAGAGCCTGAATAAGTAATAACGTGTCCCACTCGTTTAACTCACGGAGAACTTCCAGCAACAAAGCTACTGACTTGTAGGTGTGTGTGCAAAAAGATCCCGGCCTGCAGTAAAATGTCAGTGGTTAGATTGAAAAGAACTAACATCCAGGAGACCAAAAGATTCATTAAGGTGAGGAGGTAAAGAGATAGGTCTCCGGACTAACACCAATGATAATTTGCATGGGAGATATAACTGAGTAATAAATAAATATCTGTACGTGAACAAGAGTCATTCGAATCAAATATCTTGGTCGTTTCCTTTCCTACAGTTCTCCAACTGTTCTATGGAAGAAGAGTTCTACGCTCGAATACAAGCAACCTTCCCTATTTTGGTGCTCTACTAATCCTTCACATTTACCCTTTGGATTCTTTTGGACCCTCATATTTCAAAAAGTGACTTTTTTCATCACCTGTCTATATCTTCTTCTGGAATTCTCCAAAAGGCCTATAAAACAAACAAAAAAAGTCGTTAAAATATTTTAAGAATCAACGTGTCATCGACCTGTGAATTTTTTTTTTTTAACTGCCACCTGGCTCGCTCTGTACCGCCGTGTGAGCTTACTTTAGAAGAGTGATAGCCTAGGAACGAGAGTTGGCGCACAAGCTTTTATGGGTTTATTTTGTGGAGACGCTTAACACTCTTGGCCTTAAAATATCTGAGGAACACAAAAACATTAGTAAATGACTGGATATTTAGGAGCTTTCAAGATGACATGTATACGACTACGAATACGACTTAATGTCTGCAATTTTCACAAATAAATAAAATAATTATAAAACAAAAAAACAAAAAAGTTTATGATTCCTTTTGAATTGAAAATAAGTGTCTCCTAGAGTAAAACCCTCCACTACAAATTGCTAGTAGCTTCACTTTAATGAATGTTCTCGATAAATTGCTGGACGAAAAGCAATTTAAACTCCTTACCGAGAACAGGTTTGTCTTGCTTTTCCCGTTGAAAAGTCCTTGATGCGGGAAGGGAAACGTCTTGTCCTGTCTTGTATTGCTGCCTAACAGTAAATCACGGCATGCTCTGGTGTCCTACCAGGAACACAACGAATATTTTAATAAAACGTAACTGCATTCCAGTAATGACCCCAAAACCATGAAGAGATATAGAGAAAGTAGTACACTCGTAAGGCCGTAGCCCGACTTAGATCGAAAGAAAATGACAAATTGTTCCATGGCGATGGCGTGACATGTAACAACAGAGAATGAAAAGTATTCGCGTTATCTTATGTTCAGGGGAACAGTAAAGAACACATCAGGCGATGGTGTGACTCCTATTAACAAAAGCGGACATATTACTGCGTCTTTTATATGTTCAGGAAAGAAGCGCTAAACCTTCGTCAGCTGACGGCGTGACTTTCCAAAAAAGACCAAGAGAAAATATTGCGTTACCTTATGCTCAGAAGAATAGTAGTAAACATACGCCAGGCGATAGCGCGACTTGTGATGCTGAGGAAACCGCCGAAGACAATATTCAAGAGCAAGAATACAGAGATCCATTAGTTCTCTCTTCTTTGCCTGCTGTTCCTCTGTCAATGGCGCTTTTGTGTTCTCCATCGGTGTCACGTTAGAAGCAGAAACTGCAGCAGAGTCAGTAGTCGGTGTCATATCAGCATCAGGAGGCGTGGGTGTCACAGGGTCACCAGGTGATGCTGATAAAAGTGCACTAGTATTTTCCGTCATTTTAACATTTTCTGCACCATGAGTGGGAATATCGTCTGTCTCCATCTTTTCTGGTTTAGTGTCGACCTCAGTAGTTTCATTCGAAATACTCTCTTTACCTGTTGTGATTTCCTTATCTTCGAAATTCACAATGAACTTATCTGCTTCTTGTTTATTCTGGTCATCAGAGATTTCCACCAGCTTCTCGGGACTCTTCACATTTTCTTCTTCATCCTTGGGTTTGTTTTCCGAGCACGTGACCGTTTCCTGCTCCCCAGAATACTCAACTTCCATACCCATTTCCCCTAAACCTTCCAAAGCATTAAATAATTTACAAGTTTTTCCATCACTAATTGCATCTAAGCCTTTAGAAGACAGCTCAGTATTTTCGGAACTTTCCATTTCTTCCTTACCTTGGGCACATTGATCAGAACGCTTGGTTTCCAAACCCTCGCGCTGCTCATTAGAACTAACTACCGAAGGGGTCTGGGAACTATCCCCAGTCTCCTCTGCAGTTGTAAAACTGCTCGGTACAGCACTCAAGTCAACTTCCATCGGCGCGGGCTCCCTTTGCGAACCTGGCACACCTTTGATTGTTAAGTCTGTAGAGGGTTCCGGGGCGGAAACCCCCCTGGCGACGATTTTATGTTCTTCTGCAATGTTACCCTCTGTTTGGGGCGAATTGAGGTCTTCACTTGGTTGGGGCTCAGGAGAAACTACAGAATTGGTTCCACCACTTTCCTCAGAGGACTTTGGCTCGCTTCGCTTTGTGTCCTCAAAAACGCTGCTTGACAAAGATTCTACGACACAACAACAAAAGAGATTAGAGACAAAAAACTAATAAGGATTAATCAAAAAGAGAAGCAGTGAATTGCTCAGAAACGCAAAGGTATTCGTAACGTTCAGCTACCTAGTTCAAATAGCGCCCCTGAAACTGCGAAACGTGATTTTGTCAGAAGCTGCTGGGGCCCAACGTTAGGAGTATTGGAAGGATTCTTAACGATAGAGGGGTGAGGGGGAAGGAAGGTCCTCTACCAACACCTTACTTGGAATTTGGGGACATTCAAAAACATTTCCATATCATAACTTATTAACGTTTCTTTCGTGCGAAAGACGGGTCACGCGCATTCTAGATCTGGCTTCCCCTAACCACTCCCTCAGTTTTTTAATTATTATGCTATAAATTGAAAGGCCTTGTTGTGCCATCCTGCCAAGATAAAAAATTAAGGTTAAATCTTAAAGTATTGGTCCTCATACTCAGTCTCTGTAGCACTAGTCTGTAGCACTAGTCAACGAAGAGCATGTCGACTCCTTTGAAAAAGGAGGCTAATCGATCACAAGAAAAACCCCAAGGATTTCATCAGGTTTGCCCGACCGTTCGCCGGTACTCATTTAAACCCTTTGCTGGAGTGAGGCATTGTCATAGTCTGATGCCCTGCTCCCAAAACCACCACTTGGATTTGCCTGTGTCCCTTAATTGTAAAATATAGAACTTGTCTCGGGACTGTGCTAAAAACTGTTGACCAAAATAGTTCACACAATGACCTCATTTTTATGGGAAATAACCAGGTTGTTGCTCCGTGTTTCCTGAGCCCATTGACATTTTTTTTGGAGTTATCTGTCAGCTCTACGTTAATGCTCGTTTCATCAAAGAAACGACTATTTTCTCGTCGCACTGTTTCAAATATTTCATTTACTACATGAAAGCCGATTTTCTCGAAGTACGATCAGCGCAAATCCAGATTTTACTGCCAAAGGATACTCCCATTCAAAGCTTCCAGGCTCAAACGATTCCTCCCAAAGCTTTGTCTCAGATTGTGTGCATAACACAAACCTGCTGTAGTGGACTCGGTCCTGTAAACGTTCCCCGGTCCGATATCAGTGTCAAACTCCGCGTGATAGAAGGGTCCCCTAGAAGCTCGCTCAAGATGATCTTCAAGGACACTAACGTCCACATCCGGGAACTTGTCACAGAGAAGTTTAAGAACTGACACATGGATGCGGAAATAAATCTGAAATATTTTAAAGGATAACGAACTAGAGGCTTGGTTGTAATCTCCCCATGATAAAAACTAATATCCCCATGATAAAAACTAATCTCCCCATGATAAAAACTAATCTCCCTATGATAAAAACTAATCTCCCCATGATAAAAGCTACATTATTCGGTTACTAAAAGTTTTGTTAATCATACTTGATATCAAATGATTCCAGCACTATCTCCCCTCCCTCCGTACCCAGCAGGTTGTCAGGGAGCGATTTGATTTCCACACAAATATAGGCCTTGTCAACGGAGACAATGCGGGAGGAAAATTACCTATCCCTAAACAAAACATTGTTAGCTCCTTTTCAGGATTTTAAATGAGGGACAGCAAATTTCCTACCTCCAAAGCTTCCAAGAGGTGCTCTGGTGGGGAATAATAGTGAATTTTCTTCGGATAATTAGCGATGTCATCATCTAGATATTTCGCACTCTAAATGGAGGAAACAAAAAGTTTTTAGGGAGACAAACTTCGCCAAACTGAACGCATTCCGCAACGTTGATTGATACTATATACCATGTACCAATATCCTCTCACATAATTTGCATGAAAATGTATAGCACCAGATGGGAGAATCACGAAGCAGATCAGTCTTGGGCTTAGCTATGGTAATGAAAAATACACTGTGCCAATTTCTTTCGACATAACGCCTTCGCTTTTGACAGCTTCAACACGGCACCACAGGACACAAAGAAATTCCGGTCAACGAACAACTAGGCCCAGCTGCTTTTCCAATCTGACCGGTTCGTGTAGATGGAGAAATACTATTCAAACATTACTTACCTTTTGATAGTGTTCCAGATAAACACTTGCAGGTCTGTTGAGTTTTTCTGTGATCTTTCCTAAGATGTAGTGATGAAGCCAGGGTTCGCCGTCCTCAATGCCGAGGGCAGACGTGAAGCATGTTTCAGATAATAACAACGTTTCGTCACGTCGCTTTATCAACGACGCACGGTTGTCGGGGGTCATTTCGTCTTTATCAAACTTATATAAAAAAAAAAACATAGTAGAATCAAAGAGAACCCATCCTTCCGGTTAGCTACAAAATCAATACCACTTCTAACATTCATTACCAAAAGTTCGTATTGTATTTCCAGATACAAAATGTTAGAAAAGGTTTTGATAAGGCTGTTTCATGCATGTGACGTTCGACAATTTGAGTCCACTGTCAACAGTATAGCGGCGAGACTTTTTAAAACCAAAACTTCTTACACGTACGTCGACAACACTCTTATCAACACAGGTATGAACTAATGTCATCACAAAATCGAGTTACTAGCATTGCAGGTTTGAATGTCAAACAATAAACTCTTAAAAAATTGCACGCACCTGGTTTAACTGCCTGGAAGCATGAGAATACAACATGTAACAAAGTGTTCCATACTGCAGAACGAACAGAACAGGAAAAATAAGCACAAGATTGTCACAAGTTATTGTAATGCATCAACTGGTCACAAAAATGCTCCTGTTTTCTGATGCCGGTGTCAGGCACAGAGGAGGTCTGATAATCAGGTAAACCTTTTAACCTTTAACCCTTTAACCTTTAACCCTTAGGAGTGACTAGCATCTTACGTATCCTCACAGTATCGGTGCTGAATGAAACATTAGGGCCCTGAGAATAACGCAAATGATCGCGAGCTTTAGAACCTCTTGAGTGTTAAACAACTTCTTCTTTTCAGTAGAGGTAGAAAGCAGTGTGGCGAATGTGTATTCTCATGTTAGGGTAAAAAGCGTCACTTTGGTTTTAGCAACTGAGTTGACAACGCGAATTGGCCATCGTAAAGAGATTCATTCTGATGAAAGGCTTACACTCAAAACATCAGCTTCAGAATCTCTATACGGTGGCTAATTAACAACTACTCACCTCAGTGTCGGTTGTTAGTGGTGGATATTTACCGAGCCGCCAACCGGCTCGTTAAATATCCACTAAAAACCGACACTGAGGTGAATAGTTGTTTTGGTGTATACTAAAACAGTGAGGCAATATACACCACCGTCGTTAATTTGAGTGATTTCTTCGCTTGTCACGGATGCAAACCGGGACGCCATTTTTTCCCGAGTTGCTCGGAGGTAAATAGCAAAGGATATTGGGAGTTTGACTAGCCAATCAGAGCGCGCCTTCAACGCTACCCACTGTTTTAGTATATACTAATTTACATTATGAAGGCAGTTGAAAAAGCCAAATTATCTTGTAATGCCCCCCCCCCCCTTCAACGCAGCAACACGGTTTCGCTAGAAACTTATTCCCCTCTATTCATCTTTTGTGAAGGGTTAAAGACGCTAACATCGAAAATGCATGATTCTCCCCGGAAGAAGAAGGAGCTCAAACAAGTAATACAAGGAATTATTGATAATGATAATTTATTGGGAAAAATTCCATCCTTGTGCGAAGTTATAAACGTTGATTTGAACTTCTGCAGTTTACAAGAAATTACAAAATTCAAGGCTATGGTATAAAATGCTCAACTAACCTCTTCCCACAGGCTGCTGTTTGATCCGTCAATCTCTAACGCTCTCTTAAAACACCTGAACGGAAAGGTACACAGGAGATTAATCCGCAGTGACTAACATTACAAATCAAATATCAAGCTATCAGTAAGGATGTTGACTGTGGATAAATTTATGAAGCAGGACTTACCTGAGAGCTGAGACAGCGAGCTTTTGTATCGGTCCTTCACTTTTTGGTTCGCACTGAAAAATCAGGCACATGACTTAAAAAAAGTGTTATGTTTGCGACCTCTGCTAACATATGAGAATAATTTTTCCACTGAATATCGATAGTAACATCGCATTGTATTGGGTTTGACTCACTAAGATCTGCGATTGAACTTGAAAGCGCGCAGCACTTTATCGGCCAATCAGATGCAAGATTAACACCAGTCCTACTTACGTCACTCGCACTTTCCCGCGCTTATGGCCGGATGGCGCTCTGTGATATTTTCCTTTGTTTTGGTTGGATGTTGTAAAATAATGTGGGTTTTTCTTTCACCATGCTCAATTGAAAAGCGCACTAAAGCTTCAATGAACAGCAGGATTGACAATTTACCGCGTTTAACTTGTTTTCCAGTCTCCTTTTACGAGCGAGAGCCATAGCGGCCCACGTGTCAGCTCTGTCAGGTTGGACACACACATCGTGCATGTAGAACTTGAGGGCTTTGCTAGAGAACAAAAGTGATGATAGTTTGACATCCACAAGAATTTTTATCGTCATTTTCAGCAAGCATCTTTAGTTGTCAGAGAGCTTAATCTACAAAAGTGAAAATTCTTTTTGTTTCATTTCATATTCCAGCTGACTTTAAAATCACCCAATCCAAACTCTCCAAGTTGAAATTTGGCATACCGTAGCCTCGCGGTCGCCTTGCGCTTGCCTTCGCCCACCTAAAATACGCCAAATGAAATTACGCATGTTTTGCAGCCTGGAACTAACCAAAAGTTGGTATTTTAGCAAAATCCGCTTCTAATTCTAGTTTAGCTTCACGTTAACAGTACACACCTGAATTCTTTGTTCTTAAAGTAGAAATCAGCGAGGAGATAAAAAATTTCATCTATTACAGGTCTGTGGAGAAAAAAAAAGGCTGAAGATACAAGTAAGCTTGACGAATCACAGAGATAAAAAATAAGCACATTGCCTACCTTTTAACGCCTACAAGACGGTCAGGCAACTTAGGGATCGGCTCATCTCCGCCCTCGATAAACGACTGGACGCTTTCAAAACTGATAGCTGTTGGGAAAAAAATGCAAATCCCACACTGCGGATTAAAAACATCCTGGCTAACATTACACCAAATAACTACAGTGAGAGCTACTTGATTCTGAAAAGCGACAGAAGTTCACACATTGATAGACTAAGAGACAGGTAGCCTGGCAAACAAAAAGACAGACTGAAAGTCTGGCAGACTATCTATAAACCAATACACAGGGCCACAAACAGACAGATTAATAATAATAATAATTTATTTAAAGTCAATTACACAGGGAGCGGTCGCCCAGATCTCCCGAGCCAGAGGCTCATGACAAAAGTGATTGACAGAGAAAATATAAAAAGCATTACGTATAAACAATATTAAAAAAAAAAGTTATTCGGTAATAAATATAATATAATGTAATGAGTTGATGCAATTTATATGGTGGTGACAAGTGCTGAGAATAATCGTTGGAAATGATAAATATCAAATTGAACAATTGTTCAATAGACACTGAACCCTCAAAAATATGAAGATGAACTGAATAAAAATATGAAATAAAATATGAAGATGAACTGAATAAAAATATGAAATAAAATATGAAGATGAACTGAATAAAAAGGCCAAGAGGAGGTAAAGGGAGGACAATTTGTGCGTAGTTGTTATGAAACAGCAGGATAAGTTACTTTAAAGGAAGATTCAGGATAATAAGGAGGGCAAACCTTCTAGTTCCTGCTGTGGAATTACTACCGTTATTCTACGGAGGAGATTCTGTACCTGTAAAAAACCAGGAAAGTCTAGCGTTAAAGACAGGGTTTAATAATTTTTGGCCAGCGATTCATCTATCTGTCTATCTAACAACGAACGCTTTTCATTCCACTAATTTAATCGTGTTTTCCTCGTTGCCATGTTCCCACCAATAACGTAGCTCCATTTTCTGCCTTTAAAAGCACACACAACCCACAATTCCTCTATTCGCTCCGACGAAGGGCTAACGCTCGAAACGTCAGATTTTGTAATCGTTACGGTGGCCAATTTACCATTTCAACTTTGTTGATATATCCAAATTATTTCGTTACCCCCACCGACGCAGCCCCAAAACGTTTCTTTAGAAACTATCAGCCTTTATCTAACAACAACTTCCGTTAGAAACTGATGAGCAGACTTACAAATAGGTAATGACAGGTGCAGTTATTCATAACGTTGTTTCATAGCGCCGCATCACATTAGTCACGAAAAATAATGATGGTACTGATAACAATTGAAGAAAACGACCCTCGCGGGTGAGTTACAATTGCCCCCTTAAACCCTAAGACCAGTATGTATAATATTCTCCCTACTGTTTTCTATACAATTCCTACGATACTGACAAGGAGAATTTGTTCAACAATCAAAAGCATCTCCGGTGGGTGATCATTTCCTTAGATTTAGCGGCCTTAACGTTTGATTCATACTGTTAGGAAAATTAACATGCCAATCACTTTTGGGGGTTGAAGGAATAAGGAATTCTCAGGCAAGAAGCGTGAAAAAAATCCAGGCTTCGACGGGAATCGAACCTGGACGACTGCCAACTGAGCTACGATGCCACACGTTGGGAGGGAGACGAAGTGAGTCCTCCGTTCCCGTAAAGGAGTCTAACAAAGATTAAAAAAATAACGATAAAGGCAATAGTAATGATAATACAAAGAGCGATCAGTGATGGTGTTACCTCTGTTGAGATAGTGTTGGATTTACTGTCGAACGTGGGTGACTGTGGGGGCTTGAAGTAATCAAATACTCCCACTGAATTGCTCCAAGTCAAGGCGATCTGTTCTAACAACAAAAACAATAATTCATTAATAATAATGATAATAACAAATCATGATAAATTGTCCGATACAAACACTGTGAACGTATTCCCTCACCCTTCGCTATCTTACCAACTCTTTCTTTGGAAACAAGAAAAAAAGCTAGGCAGGAGATTCAAGACCGTACCTGAGGAGAATTGTGTTCCTGTAAGCCGCGAGCCTTGAGGAAAAAGAAACAGTGTTAGAAGTTCTATCATAATACCACTCGAAGTTGAAACGGGAAGAGATTTGCACGTAAAACCAAACACTTGGGACAAAATCCATCGCAAATCAGAATTTTTTGGAAATTTCAGTAAATACTGAAGCCTTGTGCTATTGCAGATTACAGATTGTGAAGGACCTAGTCTGCAATCACCAAAAAAATGTTCCTCGGACAATGAGTTTAATACAATTCCTTGACAAAGTAATTTGATTTTAAAAGTTCTCAATCGATTTAGAAGTGCCCCTTTCCCTAAACCATATCGAGAGTGGAGGCGAACTGCCAAGTAAGGATAAAAATTTAGTGTTACAAGACATGTGTCACTGATTGAAGGCTAACAAGCCGCCACATTGCAACACAAGGAACCTTCAGATGGAAAACTAAAACTTCGCAAAAAAAAAAAAAGTTCATACCTTTGCTTTTTTAGAAGGGTGCCCATAAAGACACAGGAAACACTGCTCTAGATCACGAACCAGCTCCTGTGAAAATAAACAAGCGGACAAAACCATGAAAATCAAGCATTTCGAATTATTTTCCAGAATTCAGCGCATTGCAGAAAAAAAAGTGACAAAACAATTCAAAGGCACCACATGAGCTGAAAACGTGCTGTAAGCCAATAAGAACTTGATAACTAAACACGTGAGTGGAGGTGAAAGCGGGGAACATCTGAAGTCACGATCATTTTAGTCTTGCAACTGATAAGCCCACTAAATGTGTTTAGGTACGTGACAGATAGAACAAACCTCTCTGCCGGGAACTGTCGCTTTAGCAAGTTCCTTTGTTAGAACCTCCACTTTAAGCAACAAAAAAATTCCCTCGTTGTTACAACACCAGCCACGTCTTAAATAAGAGGACAGATATATGCAAGTAAAGAAGAAATAGACAATTAATTAGTATATGAAAGGACTCTTAAAAAGAATTACACCAAAGGTATGTCTCGACGCGACCAGTGATTATGCTTTCACTATGACGACAACAGACAATCTCGAGATGACCCTCCTTCAATATGAAACACTTCCATGCGAGTTTAAATTGGTCTTCCTTACCTGCCGAGATGTTCATGTGCTACGCGCAAAAACTGTAGCGATGGTGATAGGTTACTTGCAGGCACCTCACCAGTCACATCACCGCTACTCATATTGCTGTCTGTGTTTAGTGTCTCGGGCATTGGGGAGTCTTCAGGCGGAGGAACAGTCGGAGGTGCGCATGTCTTTGACGAACTGTCCGCTGTCTCATTGTACTTCTCTTGGCTTAACGTGAAAGATCAAGATAATTATATGGTATAGTAAAACAGCAGAGTGTATTATTCAAACTACTCATTTTACCGTAATCTTAACTTACTGTTCAGTGATTTTGTAGAGCAGTACCCAAGGTTTCGCAGTTGCTAACGGTGGATCAGAACTGCTCTCGGAAGAGTTCATGGAAGCCTCTAGAACCTGAAAACAAAGAGGCGAACACAGAGAGCTGTTAAGTCTCATACTCTTACCAGGTGCGTTGCATGTACAGGGTTTGTACTTTTTCCAAATCTTAAAATTCCATGACTTTCTATAAGCTTTCTCGAGGAAGGATCTTCATGTTTTCCGTCACCAACAGTTACTCCAACTTTAACCCTTCATCGCTTAGAGTGACTAACATCTAAATTCTCCTCACCAAACCCCCCCTGAATCACATATTAAGGGCACGAGAATACAAGGAATGATCACCAAATAAATAAAGCCCTTGATTGTTAAACAAATTCTCTTGGTAAGCACCTTAGGAAATGCATAGAGAACAGTATGGAGAATATGTATACTGATGTTACGGTGTAAAGGGTTATCTATCTCTTTACCTTGACGATGCTGTTAGTCAGTCTACAGAGTTTGTCTTGAGGAATCTTGTCCAGTACGTTATCACCTTCCAAAATACTCCTTGTGGGAAGAAAACGAAAAAACGAAAACTTCTTCGCCGTACACCTTTTAACCCCTGGATCTCAAAGCTGATTCTTCCAACTTTTGGAAAACCAACTCTTTACTGTTCTGAGAATTTCATAAATATTACCAAACAACATGCCGTAGTTGATGATTTCCCTTATCCACCTCTTTGTTCTACGATGTACTGTGGTAACGTTGGGAGATTCACAATCCAATTACTCCATAGCTAGGAAATTAGAGTTTATCAAAGGCATTGCGCGAGTCTTTACCTATCGATGCAACCAAAGAGCCTGGAGAGAGTTGTGGACCAGGCCTCACAAGGACTCATCTGAGACACGGCCTCGTTCAGGGCTACCTCTGAACACGTGAGACATCGCTGACAAGAAACAGTGAACACGTGAGCTTTGCTACTTAAACACAGTAAAAGGACATAGTATAAACTGTTGTAAAAAGTTATGACACCACAGTGACTCCAATGATGACGTTGGTTCTATGGCTTTAGTGATAAAAACCGGGGAGGGAGGAGGAGGAGGAGGAGGAGGGGAGGAGAGGGTGAAGCAAATACAAGCTCGAGAAATCAGAATCTTGTCAGGTTGTAACTCTTAAATTAGGGGTCTTGACTTGACTACGTTCACATTTGAATTTAAAATTAAAGGATGGCAATAAAAGTAGTAACAAACCAAGGTGAGATAGAAAGTTTAAATAGCTTTTTTCTTGTTAAGAGTTACCTGATCACGTGCCTAGACTGTAAAACAAGGTTTCCTTATGAAGCGAAAGTATGCGAACTGTACCCATAGAAATTCCTGTTAAATATCGTTAAGTGCAAACGCAGTCGCGAACCCACTGAGAGAACAGGAATTAGGCCATCTTAAAGTTGACTAAGTGATTGTGAGCAATCATGTCTGGCAAAAACATTGGTCTCATACCAAGTCTAGCGTCAGGTAAAGGTATTGTAATACCAATGGATTCCCTATAGCATACGTCTATAGCAAGATAGACTTCATTGTCAAGGTCAACAAACCTCGTAATCCTTGAGCTTAATAAGTGAGTCCTGCAGTAACAGCAGCTGAGCCGGTCTCTCAGGTATAGACATGCCGAGTTCACCACCCTACCGACAAGGAAAGAGGATAATTTAGCTTTGAACTCAAATTTGTTCCGGTGCCCATTGCAAATTGAAGTTATAAGATAACTTAAAGGATTCGTTTGATCAATCTTTTTTCTTAGTCGATGCTTTCTTTAAAACAAAAGTTGAAACACCCACTTCTTGCTCTTTAGTGTTAGAGCGGATTTCAAATAAGTGTCGTAAAAGCCAAAATTAGATAAAATCGCAAGAGCCAATCAGAGGAAACGAAACATCACAAGGAGCCAATAAGATCGATGGCTACTTGAAGCGCGGGAAAACACGAGATATACTGTTAGTGATCCTACCTTAGTTTTAGGCTGTGGTTGATGGAGTGTAGGCAACAAAAGGTGAACTACATCTTCATAATAACCTGACTCGTACAGTCGATGAACCTGGTCACACAATAAAACCACTATATGATTCATTGAAAGAGGAGACTGTTCATTGACAAAGGGATGAGCAAAATAAACAGCTGGTGGAAGAAAGCGAGCAGATGAACCAATGAACTAACAAATGAAAGAACGAACGAAACAAAGATATAAAACGAAACGAAAGAAAGATGAAACGAGAGAAGACAAATATAACTTGGAACGGCAGAAGTTGATGCTCAAGTCCTATACAAAGTGATATTACAACATCAAAGTAGCAAGTGAAATTAAAACAAATATTGATTGTACTAAAACTAAAAAGGGTCTCTTTAAGTATTTCTTTCTGTCTTTAGATTTAGAAACGAGAGAAAAGAAAAAAAATACATAAAAAGAAAATAAAATCAGACTTTCTTTGCGTCCCTTTTTTGGCTTCCTGTCCCCTGCACTTAATAATACACATTGCGAGCATACCTCTTCTAATGACTGGCACCTTTGTAGCGATTCTAACTTCTTCTGAACTTGATCTGTGAAAGAAGAAAAGCAGATGAAGAGCGCACAACATGCTGAAAAGAATGTGTAAATAAAAAACACGTATATGTGCCCATGATAAACCGAAAGAACAACTCACATTATTGAAAAGGAAATCAGAGGGGAAAGACGCAGCTTTCTGTCTCCAAATGTCCAATAACATCATTGGAATTTCTAAATGACTTAACAAAAGTAGACTCCAAAATTTTCTTCACGAAACATTAAATAAAGCCACCTGTGATCACAGTCACCATGACTATACAGTGTTGTGACGAAGCACGTTCACTTTACTGTCGAAAGTAATTCCGAATTGTAATGGTTTGCTTTCCTTCGCTGTGTGATTGGTCCACAAAACTTGCGCCACTTTCTTAACCAATCAGATGCACAACTGAAACTAATCGTGACGTGGTTACCAGCGTTTTCCACCGCTTTAAGGCAGTTTGTTTGTTTTCACGTTGAGTTCTCATTGGTTATTAGGGGTATTTTTCTTCGCTCTGATCCGTCTTTGTGATTACTTTGGCTTTGGTTTTACGACAATCAATCGAAAAGCGCTCTGCTAGCTGAGAGTTATAAGAAATACTGTATACAAGATATCGCGTACCGATTGTAACAAGGTTATCAACTTTACAGTTCACCAGCTTGACCGTGGTGGGTCCCTCGATGGAATTGACCTTAAGCTCCAAAAACTTTGAAGTCTGAGGCAGGAAAGAAGAGAAAGCATCTTGGACTGAAATATATATAATACAGTATTTATGCGTGGTAAAATATTGTTTCACATACAGAACAGTTTTATTGCTACGAAAAAAACTATTTTTGCAACTCGACCAAACGATACAAAATGCGGCGGCAATTTTTTCCTTGCTGCTTTTTCATAGTCTTATCGCCACTCTTTTCCAGCATCGTCTGTGGCGTAAATCAAAAGAAATTGCCACGCACAGCTCTCACTTTTTTATTTTCCACTGATTTTTTTTCGACTCGAGCTATGCACTAAGCTAGGAAATGGGACCTGCTCGTGGTCTACGCCTTCATGAGATATAGGAACTTCACTTACCCTGTCTAGGTACATCATGGCATAATCCATTTGACCCTGTAGCATAAGATATCTTGCTCGCATCCAGTTTACTGCATCAAACAAGCAAGTGACAATCAGGTTGATTTCAAGAAGATCTCCGACGACAGTGACATTTAACCCTTTGACCCCTCCGTTGCCCCCTCCTTTCCCCCCTCCTTTGCCCCCTCACGACTGACGTGTAATTTCTCAATACAGTATCACGCTTAAAATCCAATTTCTAAAGGTCGCGAGGAAAAAGGAAATGATCACCAATTAAAGAAGCTCAGGATTGCAATACAAATTCTCCTTGTCAGCACCTTATGAAATGTTTAGATATCAGTATGGAGAATACGAATATTGATGTGAAGGGTTAGCAAGAGGCGAGAGAGAAGTACTCCCAGTGTATAATTTGCACCCAGGACTCAATTGACTCTAACGATGCCTATGCTTAATTAAAACATCAGTTAATGTCCAACGTCCACAGTTCTAGTAAGCGCTCTCGTTAAAAGGACGATTGCATTACACAAGACTAGCTACTTTCAGCCTTTCTATCCAGATCATTTTAGTTTTGTTCACTGACTATCTGTCCTCAAACATAACCCCGCCGTTCAGCAAATTTCAAGGCACACCCTGACATCTTCATAAGTGATGCAACTACCTCTGATGGCCATTTCTAGGGTGAAGTCTCCATGAATGCTCTGATCACAGCTAATGCGGTGAAGATACTCCACATCTGTTGCAAAATATTGACTGGAAAACCCGCCAACTTTCCATGGCGAGACAACAGCACCACCACTATAAAATCACAACAGAATTCAACATAGGAAAATATTTAAGACACAGGGTAATGCTTTCAGAGGTCCACAATTGCAAGAGACCATCCATGCATCTATATAACTCTGAATTGAAAATTTTAAGTGCCAGATTTGACGATCAATTTTTATGTAAATGGCTGGCAAGATCAGCGACCGGCAACCCACTCAATCAGTTGTCAGTCAATGAAAAAAATAAATGAAAGACAGAATAAACAGCGAACTGAAAATGTCATACAAACAATAAATAGGAACTAACAAGACAGGCCACAAACACATTCACTAACCCACGAGGTGAACTGGCAGGTGAGAGGCTTGACGAGGATTTTGACTTTGCTGTGAGGAGCTTGTCAAGAGTCAGCTCACTGGCCACAAGTACAAGCTTGTAACAAAACAAACAACTTGTTGGTTAATGAAGCATTTCATAAACAATGACTGAAAAACAAGTTTTCCACACGCTTTACTTCTTAACCCCTTCAGAGAGTGAGACTAGCGTCTAATTTTTTCCGTACGGTATCACTGTTGAATCAAACGCTAAGGTCGTAAGAGTACGTGAAAAGATCTTGAAAAGCTCTTGATTGTTGAACCAATTCTCCCTGTCAATACGGTAAAAATGCGTAGAGAACTGTATGGAGAATATGCATTCTGATAAAGACCACAACTTTTGGACTTCGCTCTTTCAGGTATCTTGCTGCCTCTACATGAAATAGCTTATCAGATGAATTAAGAATGTCAGACACTCTAGCAGTTTTTAAACGTGCTATTAGGAGTTATATATCTAGTGGGGATTAGTATATAATTATTAGCATTTTTATATGAGGTTTTATAAGAGTCTTTTGATTTTAAACTTATTGTCATTTGTTTGTAGTTATATGTTCGGAGATACTAGCAGATCTAGTGCTATTTATAAATCCGAATGGAAATAAAGTTTATGTATGTAGGGTGTAATGAGTTAACATAACTATACCTTTGCCATTCTTGTCCTATATAGGGAATCTTGATCATCACTGTAACAACAAAATAGAAAAACAGAACTATATAGTGCCCTTAGTTCCACCCAAAAAGAAGACAAATACAGCCTTTCTTTTCACATTGTAAACTGTCATTAGCATTGAGTAATAACTAAGCTTAGGAAATTGCAGCATGTTATGAAGTGTTATGTGGAGGCGCGGTGGCCTCATGGTTAGTGCGCTCGACTCTGGATCGAGTGGTCCGGGTTCGAGCCCCGGCCGGGACATTGTGCTGTGTTCTTAGGCAAGACACTTTACTCTCACAGTGCCTCTCTTCACCCAGGTGTATAAATGGGTACCGGCAATTTAATGCTGGGGGTAACCCTGTGATGGACTAGCATCCCATCCAGGGAGGAGTAGAAATACTCCTAGTTGCTTCATGCTACAGAAACYGGAGTTAAGCACCGGCCTAATGGGCCACTAGGCTCCTAAACAGACTTTACTATGAAGTGCTATACCTGGAAACAATTCTTGTAGCAAAGACATTATGGTAGGAGGAAGACTCACCAAAATTCAGAAGGAAGAATAACATGTTTCCTCATCTTTTGATAGGTCTTTAGAAAGACATCTGCCAAGGCTGAGGGCCTAAAAAAAAAGATGAACAAAAAAAATTACACTACTTGACTAGATTTATTTCATCATTTTATTTACCTCCTAAAGATCACATCTGTTCAACAGTTTCATAATTACAAATTCAGAAACAATTTAAATAACACAGAAATCAAAGCATAAAAAAGATTCTGAATTGGATCAGGTGAAAAATTGTATTTAGAAGAGGAAATCCACAAAGTGACTTGTTGTCCATTGCTTCTTCTGTAAACTTGAGTTTGGGAGTGTAGATTTTTTTGCAGTGGGAAAAAGAAGTGAAGAAAACAGAAAAGGATCTTCCAACAAAGAGGAGGAACCAAACACAAAGTCAATGTGCAGGTGAGGGGTTGAGTGATGCTGGCTTTGGGAGAAGATCAAGGGCCACAGAGGTAAGAAGGAAATATATCTTATTAACCAAGCGCGAGGGCCGTACTGGGAGAATATCGGTCCGAGGTCTTGATGGTACGGACCAAGGGCCAATATTCTTCCAGTATGGTCCCGAGCAAGCTTGGTTTATAAGAGATTTATTAATTATACAACTGAAGTTCAAAGGGACACAAGTGCGGTATCATTTGGGACAGTGCCCGGTCCGATATTGATAGAATATTGACCGGCAATAGAGCGTTTTGATTGGTTGATTTTAGTTATTGGCTCTCTGACTTCCCGAGTCATGTAATAAGTACCTTTATCACTGCCCTTATTTCTATCCATTTCCTTAACCAACTAGGGAAAATTACAGCAAAGTCAATTGCCACTCACCACTTCTTGTTGTTTTGAGCTGCAAGGCATATCCCATATTGATTCATTACATCAATGATCCCACTGTTGTATAAGTAGGGAAAACATTGTCAGTGTGAGGATTAGGTCTAATGATTAACATCACCCCTGTCATCAGTATGGACATTCTTCATACCGATCTCAATACACTTCCTATAGTGCTAACTAATCTGTTTCACAATCAAGAGGGTTTTTAGTTGGCAATCATTTCCTTTATTTTCACAATGTCAATGTGTCATTTGGGGAGAATACTGCAGGGAGAAATTGGATGGGTGTCACCCTTGGTTTTTTTTTTTTTTTTTCAAGTTCTAGCATTGAGCATTCTTACAGATCTACATCCCAGTCAGTTTTGCTATTTAGCAAAGTCAATCAAAATCAGGGAACTTTGAACATTAAAATCAGAATAAGTAGAAAGAAAGCATGGAGCAAGAGTAGAGACAGGTGAGGCAGAAGATATATAAAGCACCACAGTTAACCTGAGCCCATAGTTGAAACAAAGCAAATTAAACATAAAAATGGCACTTATTGCTGGTACATTTCTCAACATTATATTCTCAAGAATGTAATATGTAGCACAATTTTTTACAGGACTAGAAGTTCTTTAATCCACCTACATACAAATTGTAACCCACCCATTTTCCATGTGTTCTTTGACAAAGGTGAGAATGTCTAAGGCTTCAGCTTCCCCAGTGATCACTTCATCATAATTGTTCCTGTCAGCTGGTTTTGCAAACCAAATCATAACAATTTAGATGACAGTCATGCCATTACATGTAAGTGTATGGTAGTAATGTATGGTTAACAAACCTAAGTGAGCACATAATAGGCTAGTGAAGTCAATTGTATGTCTTACCCTCTCCATGTTTCCCTTCAGAGGCTTGTGACTGGCTGCTTCTACAATTGACAAAAAAAAAAAAGAGTGGATTTTCAGTAATGGATTGAACCATAATTATGTTTCAATTTTGCAGATTGTTTTTTTAAGATCTTCAGTTGATAAATTTCTTACTGAAAATTGTCAATAAGATCTTGTTTAAATCTTGCAAACATCCTGCAAAATTTGTGTAAGATTTTATAACATCAGATTTGATAATAATCTTCATCAGGAATGTTGATGTGTGCTCCAAAGATCTCTCTATGCAGGAATCCCAAGAATGGTGTAATCTACAAAAAATTAAGAGAGTTATGCATTCATAAGGTCTCACACCTTTGACTTAACTGCAAGCCATCTGTGAGACTCTCCTGGCTACTTTCATCATCAACACTGACACTGGGTCTGAAGAAAAAATGCCAAAACTAATAACTGCTGGGAATTAAAGGAAATGAAAAATTAAATCCACTCCATGTGATCAATAAAATGGAAAACTGTAAGTAATAGGTTACTGCAAAGGTTTTCATCTTCTAACTCTAAAAAAGCAGAATGCAGCAAAAAAGTATCAAATGAAAGGTATGCTGGGATTCTATTAAAGGACTAAATAATATCAATCAGCCAGACTATATGGAAATTATAATGCAATCATATTAGCTGCTAGCCTTCAACAGCCCTCATTAGTAACAATTTGTTATGAGCATTTCTTTGCCCACAGGAAAGGATTAGGCCTTGTCTGAGCAATGCAAGCTGGCAACAGGCTAGGTCTGCCAGAGGTGCGCAAGGGGTATAGCATCTTCTCAGGAGCAGAAAAATGTGTTTCCTACTTGAGGACCTATTGGGAAGCTAAAAGTCACTGATAACTTAATCTTCCCATGATTTGTATTTGTGTTTATTCCTAGATGTGAAGGAGTAAAGAAAAATTTTGAACCACTTTTACACTGTCCTCAGCTAAACAAACCTGAATAATGAAGGAATAAATGATTGCACCAATTCCCTGTAGTTAATTTCCTCTTCTTTCTTTTTGTTTGTTCTCACCTTTGAAGTGAAATAAGAAAAGCAATATTTTAATGCTTTCTCTTTAAGTGTGCTCAGAAATGAAATAATAAAAGGAATGTTTCTCAGAGGATCCACTACCAGACACTGAGTTTTTAATACAATGATTGCAGAAAAGACTGCTGCTAACTTTGAACTTCCTTTAGGGATTAAATAATCTTAGTTTGCAATCAAATTCCATCTCACCCTTGCTGATCTTCTCTTAGGAAGGAAATCATCAATGGCACTTGGAGGTGGTTTCTTTCTTTTTGGTCCTTTTTTGCTCTTTTCGTCATTCTCACCTAAGAACAAAACCATCCACGTTTGGTTAACTTCAAGTGATATCTTTTAAAATTATACTACATTTGCAATTCATCCTAATTTTTCCATGTAATGTAAATAGGCATCTGTCTGAACTCCTTTGTTAGTAACAACAAATACACCTCAAATCCTCCCCTCCATAGGAAATACCATTCTTGTCTATCATGACTGCCAAACCTGCAGGTCGTTGAATATCGCTGTTTGGATATAATCCCTGATAGATACCTGTCTGGACATTCTTGTATACTGAAAATCCCTCCGTAGAAAAACTAGAACTTGAATAATCTGGCACTTTAACAACAGATGCTCGGTAGGACATAGAGATGTCTTCAACAAAGAAAAGGAAAACACTGTTATTAAATGCAGACTGATTTTCAGCAGGTAGTACTCTGAACTAGTAATAAATGATAGTGTACAGACTTAGAAGAACAACAAGGAAGAAATAAAACATACTTGGGGTGACAATAGCTTTGTAGTACTCCTCCAAATCAACTCTTCGACCAAGTGGCTGGGAGAATACAACAAAATGGAATCATGTACAAATAACCACAATGCTGTCACTGGGGTTTTGCCAGGTATCATTTGATACTGTTACGCAGTCATGTTCTTTTAATGTAGACTCTTCTAGTCACCAATAACTGGGAGCAATTTTATTATCATTATCAAACAAAATTACATTGTACATCCATTGTAACAAACTTAAGTACGCACCCAATGCTGTAACAGCAACTACACATTGTTGTGTTTCTTCCACACTTTGTTTTTATTTTTTTTTTATTTCAAACTGTAAAAACTTAGTTGACTGTATAAAAAAATTACATGTTATAAAATTACTGCAATAATATATTAAGCACCCTGATTGGTCAAAACCTATCGCTCATTGCACTGGTAAACCCATAGTTATTTCATAAAAGCAATAGACCACACTTTTTATCAGTTTATCAGCATAATAACAAACATGGGATGTTCGGAGAATACAAGAGCTTCCAGCTCATGATTTACAAACTAATGATCTTCAGGAGAATATGATATGCGACAAACCATAACACAGGCAAAAGTAATCATGCTTCAATACCTGAGGAGTTTCTGGTGATGTCAGGTGATCATACAGAGCAATAAAGCATTCACCCAGACTTGCCCACCTTAAGAAAAAAAAATTAAAAGAAAGGAACTTGTTTTCACCATGCCATCAACAACTTTATCAAAACCACTCCACTTCAATGGCCATCATTTCTTACGTGTGTGAGGTCAGAGTCTTGACAGGCGAATAAGGAGGGGGAGGGGCCCTGTCTGCTTCTACAAGTTTTAATCTCTGTTCCCTGAGATGAACAGCTTCATTCACAAACTGTAACAAAGGAAAAAAGTAAAAATTAATGTCCTGACTAGTGATGTCTATTACCAGGGCCAGATGAATAAATAAAGGAAAATCATAAAATAAAATATAAACACATGAATACGGTGAAAGCATACCTTTTTTTCTTCATTTCCTTTCTCTTCCTCACTCATTGCATAGCACATGTTAAATAGATTTCTATGAGAAACATACATTTCAATGTACTGTCAAAATTTCATAAATAAATGAATAAATATTAATAATATTACGATCACTTTGACTACCTAATTGTAAGGGAAAACCTTACTTCAAGTAAGTCACACCAAACACTGAAATTTACTTTCCAGACCAAATACCATATAGAAATGGGTAATGGCTTGTCATTATCATCTAATTTTTTTCCCTCCTGAAGATTTTAAAGTAAAAGATTTGAAATATCCAGTAGTCAAACACCAAACAACAGCCTCTGTTGTGTTTGATAGTTTACCTCAGATGTTGTGATTCTCTCTTGAGTGGTGGTTCCTCAGAGAATATCTGATTCTTCAAAGCTATACCTGGGAAAAAAGTAACAGTTAACTATTGGAATCAAATATTGAATATTTTTATACTGCACACTTAAAAACTACTGGGGTATATAACATTATTTCCAAGAATGTCATAGAAAAAAGCTTATCTGAAGATTTAATCTGATAAGAAAAGTGCAGCAAGAATTACATGCATGCATGTAACAAATCAAAGTCAAGTTAATGGCATATATCTATAGTCTGTGATCAAAATAAAATGAATACAATTGGACAACAACAACCTTAAATTTTGAAAAAATACTTCCATTATATATGAATAACAAAACTTGCCTTTAGGATATTCTTCATCCCTCTCTAAGGCCTTTGAGATCATAACTAGGCATGCTGTTTATCAGAAAAAGATATTGTCCAAATACTGAGGTGTTGAACTTGAGAAAAACTTTTACAGGCCTCTAATTTCCCCTTACAAAATCACCCTTGAATCAAATATAAAGGTCATGAGAATTAAGGAAATGATCACCAATTAATGAAGCCCTTGACTGTCAAACATATTCTCCTAATTGTACAAACAATAAGAAATGTAAAGAGCACAGTTGGGAGAATAAGAATACTGATGTTAGGGTGTAAAGGGTTAAATTCCAAATGTAGGGAAGCATACAATAAACAACTTACTGTAGTAATCCCCAATGGCATATAGCACTGTACAGAGCAAGTCTAAACAAGGCCAGTGCTTTGGATTGCACTTCAAACCCTTTGTGAGATAAGACAGAAAACAAGGTAGAAAATCATAAAAGCATCTTGCTGTAATTATCTTTGATAATTTATCTAATTTAATTACTGTTCTTAGTACACATATAGCTGAGTCTCGATGCATTTACAATGAGTAAATTAAATATGAATTGACTATTTACAATCATATGATACAATTAACTGGTCTAATATAATTAATATAAATAGAATACAATGAAATAGCTAAGTAATATAATAATATAAAATCTATGCAATATTTAACAATTATTCGACAAAGGTGAGGTGAATATCGTCAAATAATCCCTGAGATGAAGTCGAGGGGATTATTTGACAATATTCACCAAACCTGAGGCAAATAATTGTTTTTAGTATAATTTCAGAGCTGAACAACAGAGAAATTTCTAAAATATATAACATTTTAGTAACATTCATTAACATTTTATTACAACATTTTATATAAGCTGCTTGGAGCGGATTATATAGCGTCATATAAGGAACCACTCGACCAATGAGATTGCTGGAAACTCTTTGCTCAGCTCTGAAATTATACTAAATACATATATAAAATTGTCACTGTTAATGTAACAGTTGACAGTACATTCATAATCACCCTTAAAAAGGTTGGTGAGTGGTAAAGCCCAAGACTTGAGAGAAGTGAACAACCCTTTGATGAACTACTGGGTAAAGTTGGATTTTCAAACATTTTCTTTTTTTTTGAATTTTTCAAACCAAGGTTAAATTTCAAAATTTACTTTATTCTTTAATTCAAACCATTACCAATGCTGGAGCCAAAAAAAAAAAAGAAAAATAATGTCTGTTACAGAACTGAAATGAAAACAGTCAAATAGTATAACTTTAAAAAAACTTGCTTTCTGTTAATGAATGAAAAGATTAATAGTCTAAGATTAGTTTTGATATATTATAAATCAACTCAATAGTGAGGCCCAGAGCTTGTGACCAGTTCCCTTTACATGTATTCTTCTGAGACTCACTTTGAAGGAGAATTTTGATGAATTGAAAGAATTATATCAATGTCTTCAAATCAAATGCTGTAAGTTATAACCTGGTAATTTACTTCAAAGGCAATACAAACCTCCTCAAATGAGTGTCGAGCCAAGCAAAGATCAAATGTCTTCAGTGCTACCATTCCAAGATGATACCATACTGTCACATCTGAATCATCGAGGGCAACAGCCTGCAGATAAAACAAACACAGTAAGGCAAAAGTGTCTCATTAGAGAGGTCAGTTGGTCAGGGCATACTCCACTGTGCAAACCATAATAATAATTGCCAAAATCTGTTGGAAACAATAAAAATTAAAAAAAAAAAAGACTATAATGTAGAAGAAATTGACTGAAATGCAGTTGGTTTGTCTTGATTGAATCGATGAATCCCTCTGTTCTGGTTTTGCCTAAAAAAAAATCTTGAAACAATTTTACATTTCTGGTGGTTAACCAAAATAAAGCATGGAATAATAAATTGTTTCAACTATGTCACCTGGAGATATGCATCTATGGATTTTTCCCACTGTTCTCTCTTCTCTGCTAATGAAGCTAGATTCTTGTAAGCTGAGTATTTCAATACATGACCAGGTTCAACCAATCCAGCATCTTCATCTGGTGGCTGAGCCTGTTAAAGACAGTATTCCGTGCAGTCTTGTTTTTTTATAACATTTTGAATTACTTATTTCAGGAAACCCCTTAGCTCACATTAATTTCACAGAAAAACTGCTTCTAACAGAAAGATAACAGACCTAGAACATTGACCTTTGTTGTTGTTGGCTTGACGTCACGAACGAAGATTAAAAAGGTTGTCCACATTGACGTCCGCTGCAGGCATGTTTGTGGCTGACCAGACCAATGCGGGAAAGGCAGATCCATGGGCAATATCTGCAGCTAAAGGTGGTGTCCGGAGTGAAGATGGAGGCGGCACAGGCCTTCCTCCTCTGTCACTTGTCTTTAAGTACCTCACATCTATCCTCCTCAAATTGAGCGGAGGCTTGGTTGATTGTGTGGCGCCAGGTACCACGGTCTGTAGCCAGGTCAGACCACTCTTTGTGGTGCATGTTGCAGGTGCTGAGTGACTTCTTTAGGCTGTCCTTGAAAATCTTCTTTGGAGCCCCTCTCTCATGTTGTCGGGTTCAGAGTTCACCTTACATGACAATCTTAGGTAGGCCGTGGTCTTCCATTCGGGAAACAGGACCAGCCCATCGGAGCTGGTGCTTCAGGATCATGGCTTCAATGTTGGAATCTCAGCCTGCTCCAGGACTTCGACATTGGTGCTGAAATCACACCAGTGGATGTTGAGGATGGTGTGCAGGCAGCGCTGATGGAAGCGCTCGAGGAGGTGGATGTGGCTGGGGAAAGTGACCCATGTCTCAGAGCCGTACTGAAGGGTGGTGAGAACAACAGCCCTGTAGACCGGGATCTTTCTTTTTCTTTTCAGGTTCTTGTTGTTCCAGACTCGTTTGTATAGTCTGCCAAAAGAACTATTTGCCTTTGCCAGTCTGTTGTCTATTTCCTTCTCCATCTTGGGGTCGGAGGAGATGGTGCAACCCAAGTAGGTGAACTGCTGGGTTGATTTCAGTTCTGTGTCGCCTATGCTGATGTGGGGAGGGCGATATTCTACTTGAGGGGCAGGCTGGTGAAGGACCTCTGTCTTCCTGAGTTTTGTTCATGGCACTTTTCCTGAAGTTGGCGGGGCATGAACACCATGTCCATCATGCCTCTGTTGGCTCTGAAGCCACACTGGCTCTTGGGGATGTTTTCTTCGTCAATGGTTGGTGCAAGCCTGTTAAGCAGGATCCTGGCAAGTATTTTGCCAGCGACTGAAAGTAGTGTGATGCCCTGGTAATTGGAGCAGTCAGACTTTACACCCTTGTTATAATAATATAATAATAATAATATAGTTTATTTTGGACCACTTGCAGCCTAAGGCTGAATTACTGGTACAGTTTTAAAAATGTATACNTTTGTGGTCGATGTTGCAGGTGCTGAGTGACTTCTTTAGGCTGTCCTTGAAAATCTTCTTTGGAGCCCCTCTCTCATGATGTCCGGTTAAGAGTTCACCGTACATGACAATCTTAGGTAGGCGGTGGTCTTCCATTCGGGAAACATGACCAGCCCATCGGAGCTGGTGCTTCAGGATCATGGCTTCAATGTTGGAATCTCAGCCTGCTCCAGGACTTCGACATTGGTGCTGAAATCACACCAGTGGATGTTGAGGATAGTGTGCAGGCAGCACTGATGGAAGCGCTCGAGGAGGTGGATGTGGCTGTGGTAAGTGACCCATGTCTCAGAGCCGTAAGGAAGGGTGGTGAGAACAACAGCCCTGTAGACGCGGATCTTTATTTTTCTTTTCAGGTTCTTGTTGTTCCAGACTCGTTTGTATAGTCTGCCAAAAGAACTATTTGCCTTTGCCAGTCTGTTGTCTATTTCCTTGTCCATCTTGGCATCGGAGGAGATGGTGCAACCCAAGTAGGTGAACTGCTGGGTTGATTTCAGTTCTGTGTCGCCTATGCTGATGTGGGGAGGGCGATATTCTACTTGAGGGGCAGGCTGGTGAAGGACCTCTGTCTTCTTGAAGCTGACATCGAGGCCAAACAGCCGCGAGCCATCTGCAAAGCATGAGGTAATGCGCTGAAGAGCTCACTCAGTGTGAGCAACAAGGGCAGCGTCGTCAGCGAAGAGATCTCATATCAGCCTCTCCTGGGTCTTTGTGTGAGCACGGAGTCACCGTAGATTGAAGAGACTACCATCCAGACGGTACCTGATGTACACCCCTTTGTCAACATCCAAGTCCACAGTAGCTTGCTTGAGCATCATGCTGAAGAATATGCTGAAGAGGATTGGTGCCAGGACACAGCCCTGCTTCACACTGTTGGAGATAGAAAAGGGTTCGGAAAGGTTGCCATTGACTCTGACCTGGCCGCATTGGTTCTCATGCAGCTGGATAACCATCTGTAGAAATTTGGGGGGACAGCCAAGACATTTGAGAATAAGCCATAGACCAGACCTGCTCACCCTGTCAAAGGCTTTTGTAACGTCAACAAAAGTGACCTAGAGTCCTTTGTTTTGTTCATGGCACTTTTCCTAAAGTTGGTGGGGGACGAACACCATGTCCATCATGCCTCTCTTGGCTCTGAAGCCACACTGGCTCTCAGGGATGTTTTCTTCATCAATGGTTGGTGCAAGCCTGTTAAACAGGATACTGGCAAGTATTTTGCCAGCGACTGAAAGTAGTGTGATGCCCTGGTAATTGGAGCAGTCAGACTTTACACCCTTGTTATAATAATATAATAATAATAATATAGTTTATTTTGGACCACTTGCAGCCTAAGGCTGAATTACTGGTACAGTTTTAAAAATGTATACACTGGAAACCTAAATGAATAGATACACACAATACTTTACACAGGTTGATACTTAACGGTAACGAAATTTTTAAAACGCTCTGTTCTGACAAGTGTGCCGTGAGAAGATTTTCCTGATCGCAGACACATATGCATTGTGCTGTGAAGTACCCAGTCATGAATATGGGGCAGCTCTGCAGTGTGCCGACAAGGTCTGAATGGCGGCCTTTTCAAGCGTATGTTCGTATGAAAGGTCAGGCCATATAATAGAAAGAGCCCTTTTCTTGTCACCTTTTTCTGATCGCAGACACATTTGCGTTGTGCTGTGAAGTACCCGCTCATGAATATGGGGATATGAGGGGTGGCCTGGGCAAATTTTATGAATAAACTGGTTGCATGCAGCTGCGCGGCATGCCGACAAGGTCTGAATGGCGGCCTTTTCAAGCATATGTTCGTATGGAAGGTCAGGCCATATAATAGAAAGAGCCCTTTCTTGTTCTTGTACAGGGCTATGACAGTAGCATCACGAAGATCTTGTGGCAGCTTGCCCTGCTCCCAGCAACAGGCGAGGAGTACATGAAGTTTGTGCAGGAGTGCCGGACCCCCATTCTTCCAGATTTCTGGTGGAATGCCATCAACTCCTGCTGCTTTGCAATTCTTGAGTTGATTTATGGCTACTCTCAGTTCATTGAGGGTGGGGGGTTCATCGAACTCCTCTTTGAGTGAGAGTTGAGGAACAGGATCAATGGTAGAGGCCTGCACAGTGCGGTTAGCACTGAGGAGGCTCTAGAAGTGTTCAGATCAGCGAGCAAGGATGCTGGTGTTGTCAGTGGGGAGAACCTGACCGTCTGAGCTGCGCAGGGGGCTCTGGACCTGGTGGGTAAGGCCATACACTGCTTTCAGTGTCTCGTAGAAGCCTCTATAGTCACCTGCATCAGCACACAGCTGAGTTTCCATAGCCAGGTGGTCCCATCAATTGTTCTTTATCCCTCTGAGTCTGCGCTGTAGAGCACTACATGCGCGTCGAAAGTTAGCCCTCTTCACAGGACAAGTCGGTTGTGCTAGGTGGGCTTGATGAGCAGCCTTCTTCTTTGCTAGTAAGTCCTGGATTTCCATTTCATTTTCATCAAACCAGTCCTGGTTCTTCTTCTTCAAGTACCCAAGAACCTCTTCAGATGTCTTCAGGATGGCCGATTGCAGGTTCTCCCACAGGGTGTCAGGAGTGGGGTCAACAGCTTGGGGGAATTCGTCGAGTTTCAGCTGCAGGTCTGCCTGGAACTTGGCTGTCACCTCCTCTTGGCACAGACTGCTGATGTCGAGTTTCTTCACAAGGATACCTATCTTCTTTGGTTTGGGTTTAAACTACAGTTTGAGCTTGCAGTGTACAGGACGGTGGTCAGTGTGGCACTCAGCACTGGGCATCACTCTTGTGTGTAGAACGTCTTTCAGGTCTCTCCGGCGCATGAGCACATAGTCAAGTAGATGCCAATGTTTTGAACGAGGGTGCATCCAGGTTGTTTTCAGGCTGTCTTTCTGTTGGAAGATTGTGTTGGTAATGATGAACTGGTGCTCTGTACAGAGCTTGAGCAAGAGATGCCTGTTGTCATTAGTTTCCAATGCCGTGTCTTCCGAGGACTCCTTTTCAAGCTTTGGAGTCCTTTCCAACTCTTGCATTAAAGTCGCCAGCAATGAGGACCTTGTCGACTGCAGGGGTGTTGTATAAAAGTCTGTGCAGATCGGAATAGAAGCTGTCTTTGTCCGCAGGGTCTGCCAGAAGGGTTAGGGTGTAGACACTGAAGAGTGTGAGATGTTGCTTGCTCTCTAGTGGTAGGCACATGGACATGATGCAGTCTGAGTGGCCTGTGGGTAGGCCATCAAGTTTGGAGGTGATGGAGTTCCTCACCATTAGTCCCACTCCTGACTGGCATCTCTCCTTTGATGTTTTCCCAGACCAGAAGAGAGTGTAGCCAGCGCCATGTTCTTTGAGGCTGCCCTCGTCAGCAAAGCGGACCTTGCTGAGAGCTGCTATGTCGATGTTAAGGCGAGAGAGTTCGTGAGCCACAAGGGCTGAAGGGCATTCCAGACAGTTGCTGTCAGCCATGTCGAGCATAGTCCTGACCTTCAAGCAGGCAACATTCAGGGCCTGTTTGTTTTTGTTTAGTGATTTCTTGCTTGGTCGGCTGCACGATAAGATGCCCATTGACTGCCACTAGCCAACCGGGTGGTGATGAGGAGGCGAGCTTTCTTTAGGCGAACCTTTTCTATCGCCCCTCTCCATGTGGAGCAGGCAGTGCTCTCTCTAAATGGGGCTGCCTGGTCACTCAGGATGTTGTTGAGTCGTGTCGTCACCTCCAGGATGACAACCAGGCGACCATCCCTCCTGAACCGTTTGCATGCAGGATCAGGACTATGGCTTCCAGTGACATCTTCCACCTGCCACTTTCGCCCCTTTCCCATCACTGCAAGGCTTGGAATGGTTGGACACAGAACGTGGATGTGTCCTTCGGCCTGCGCTAAGGATTTTTTTTGGTGAAGTACAGTGTGCGCAGACTGGCCCCACCCTTTGAGCATGAGGTCCATCTGCCATGGCCTAGCAAGCTGGGAGGGTGACAGCGGTGACAGTAGGTTTTACTTTGGAGTTTACGTCTCCTAGGTGGGTTGCCGACCAAGGCTAATGAGCCCCACCCACACTGACCTTTAGTGGATGCTTAATATACAAATTTAAGAGCTACAAACTATAACAGAACATGAGTAGCACATCTATACCTAAATCAAAATCCGCATTGCTGAAAAAAAATTGTTCTCAAGCCTTCTGCTAACCTCTTTGACCAAAGCAGAATTTAATAACTGATTGTATGCCTCTTCAGATGCTGTATAATCTCCTTTCTGCTGCAAAGCCAGGCCTTTATTGTACAACTCGAGAGCCTCTGATTCCTGTTAAACCAATATCAGATTAGATAATTAAATGTTTTACCAAACAGCTGTCTGGCTGAACTGAAAATGAGTGCACAGGATGTACAAGGATTTCTACCATGTCCCTACTGTCTCTCCTTGGTTCAGTTGACCTAAAAGTTGGGATTTGCACTTAATGTAATAATAATTTTTAACATATACTTCATATAAATAACCCCCTTGTATAGTTATTCCATTTTGGCTCCAGAATGCTGTCACAGGGCATCTGGGGACGGATAAGCCCTTTTTATTTAAATAGACGTGACAAATCTTATACTGGTCTAACAGTCAACAGAAGACATCTGCAAAAAGAACATGTAGAGATGTATGGACTGCCAGAGAGAATTGTAGGTAACATTTCATTGCAATTTCAACCCTTAAAATGTTATATCATATCTAGAATGCAATCAATCTATTTGCTTTGCATAAAGGCTGATAGTTTCTAAAGAAACTGTTTAGGGGCTGTGTCAGTGGGGGTAACGAAATAATTTGAATATATCAACAAAGTTGAAATGGTAAATTGGCCACTGTTATGATTATAAAAGCTGACGTTTCAAGCGTTATCCCTTCGTTGAGCATTTTGAGCATTACCCCTTTGCTCCAACACAGGGCTAACGTTCGAAACATCAGCTTTTATAATCGTAACGGTGGCCAATTTACCATTTCAACTTTGTTGGTATATTCAAATTATTTGCTTTGCAGTTTGACTGTTACCATTGGCAACCAGTCCAAAAATAAATCGGCTTTCTGTACATCAGTAACCTTCACGTTAAGTAACACTTCCCATCGTAAGCGCGAATCAAGTTGCAAGTAGTTTTAGGAGTATAAATGTACTGCCACTCCCCTTGAATGAGATGTAAGTTGCCCACCATACTCCCTCTAAATATTTTGACAGTTTTCCATGACAGTTCACCATAACTCAATCAAAAACCTAAACGAAAAGGTGTTCAGTCTCCTTGCCAGTCTGCAGAGTATGGCAGATGTACATGCAAGTCTACTTGTCATAACACAGATTTTTCACAACAGACTCACAACATTGTACGCAGCAGCTGTAAAATAAGAGAAAGCCCTACAGCCATGCATGCAAGTATTAAGGTTGTATTCCATGCAGCTAAGAAATGCTTTACATGCATCAGGTCTGATATTGTTACCCACCATACTAAACAGACTGTACTCCTATGAAAACAGATTTATTACATGACTCGGGCAGTCAGAGGGCCAATAACTAAAATCAACCAATCAAAATGCTCTATTGCTGGTCAATATTCTCTCAGTATTGGACTAGGCACTGTCCCGAATGGTCCCGAATGATACCGCACTTGTGTCCCTTTTGCACTTCAGTCGTATAATAAATCTCTTATTAACCAAGCTTGCTCGGGACCGTACTGGAAGAATATCGGCCCTCGGTCTTTTTTGTACCGACCTCACTGTGCTCGGTCCATACTGTCAAGACCTCAGGCCAATATTCTCCCAGTACAGCCCTTGCGCTTGGTTAATAAGATATATGTATTGCCTGAGTGAGGTGTGTTATTGAAAAAGCACAACACAATGAGTGCAGCTACTAAAATCAGACTAAAAAGTATTCATAAGACAACATACCTCCCTTGACAAAGCTAGTTGGAAAGAGTACCATATAACCCCATCATTAATTATGCATTCCACTTCTTTGTCTTTGAGGATAAAACTTTAAAAACAAAGTCTACTAGTCTGAATGCATAATTAATGTATGGGGTTATATGGTACTCTTGCCAAGCTACTTTAATGTGTTTGTTTTTTCTCCTTTATTTCCTCATTTCTCTTCCATTCACAATTACTTTATCAACAGTACTGCTGCAGCTGAATACTCCCTACCTTAGCTTGTTTGACACTCTCCTGTGTTGGTTCGTGGTCGCTCTCCTCACTTGAATCATCATTCAGCGCGCACAGACGAATCTTATGGAAAAAAAAGAGAGAGAAAGATCAACTTTCGCCAAATTCAATTGCAAGTATACAACTTGGACAATGACACCAACAGTTCCATAAACATACCATTTTACTTGGTCTGAGGTTTCAGTCAGGTAGCATTTGCTTGCACCCTATATGTGAGCAACCCCTACTCTTTAGCACGGAAGGTTACTGCAACCTAAATAATGTTTGTCAAAGTTGAAGAAAAATCCGCCATGTTGTCTCACGTAAAGGAATGGATACTAAGGTCTTCAAAACATGTGCGGTTACCAAACGCTAGCCCCAGATTACGCGCACACTTCAGAACAAAATAGCGCATAATTCGCGGGGATTTTCAATTTAGGAAAAGCTTGGCAAAACAATAAAAGGTGTGAAATGAGATGTCTAGGCTCACACAGCAAAGTGGCGATGATAATCGCTATATCCTAGTGGCTAAGCTGGACAACGCGCGTAATCTTCTAAACATTTTGAAAGCTGTACATTTCAAAGAGGTATGTACATGTAAAAGACGTAACATAGATATGTTGTAGATCTAGTCCTTTGAATCTCGAGAGTGATAATTTGTAAATTCTCCTCAAATTTTCAAATTAGTGTTGAACAGAGTGGTAGTGAGAAGATGTAAAACTATCAACTAGGGAATAGCATATTTCTGGAATGTATAAACATTAAGACAAAGAAATGTACGGTAACGGTGGAGACAACGAGCTCTCAGAGTTTCTATTAGGAGGGAAGAATGGTAGGAGGCAAAGTCTGTACTAAAGCCTATCAGTCAATCTAGACTTCGAGCTAAGGGGGGGAGGGCGTTTTTGTTTGTGTGTTCACCTGGTGGATTTTCTTCCCTCTGCGTTTATTTTTTTACCCAAAATGAGCGAGGGCAGGGGGGTGGCCACTGCTGTGCCCCTTCACTAGATCCACCACTGACTAAGCATTATCCCACTGTGGTTCCCAAGGATCGTTATAGTAAAAGGTTGATGCAACTGACTCTGACTCAGGACTTTTTTTTTTTGATAGCATGAGGAAACTCACCGAGCTACTACTTCTTTTAGAAAACGTGATTCTGTTTTCATTTTCTTGGATAACCATATTAGATGAAAATAGCCGCATTTATAAAGAATTTTTCTTTCTGTACTGTATCATAGTCAGCCACGTGTTTTGTGAGTAGCAATGGTATCAAGGTTACTGTTGAAGATGCAAAGTGTGTACAGGCCAATGCCTTTGTGCAAAGTGGAATCTTCCAGGAGTTTGTTTTCAAAGAAGAGAGTGCCACTTTCCGGATAAACCTCAACGTTTTACTGGTAGTAAAATTAAAGTTACAATTAAATTGAATTATACTCTTTTATTGTTCTTCTTCCTGAATGAGCCTCCTGCAGAAGCTTGTTACACTTCCACTTCATTGCAGACCTCATTACTGGAAACAATAATTTATGATAAAGTGTGTTACTTGCCAGAGGCCCCATCCTGCTGGAATTCATTCCTGTTTCAGATGCATTAAGTGACCAAGAATACTGTCACTCCCCCCTGGACTGGAGGCCTGTTTAATGCAAGGCTATTCACACCACTTTATGAATTCCTAATAAAGATTTATACCAAAATTCATAATCTGATCTCATTTTCCAGTAACTCCACATTTTGTTAAGCCAGGGATAAATGAGATTGGATCTTTTATATAATATAGAAAGACCTGTGCACATGTAGATATTTTTTCCAAGAATTAACAATTTAATTTTTATTCATTCTTGTAACCAGGAATGTCTCAATATCTTTGGCTCCTCCAAAGATACAGGAACTTGTACTGCAATGAAGATGTGTTATGCGGGATATGGCTCACCACTCATTCTCATGTGAGTATTTGGGGGGGGGGGGGTTCAGTGGTTTTTATCATGCTTCTCCCTCAAGAAGAGAACCACAGCAGAGAGCTAGCATACATTAGCTATGGTACACTTAACTGCAACCCACTGATTCTCTTCTGGCCTTTGAAGTTTCAGTTAATGATTGAAATAGTCAAAGGAGTTAATGATGTCCTCTGTAATATCGTAGTTCTGGTTACTAGTAAAATTTATTGATTTCATAATTAATGTGCCATATCTATTTTATGAATTTATTTATTTGTAATCTGAAATTTTACATTTTGCTCTATGTTCAAAGGCTAGAGGAAGGTGGTGTCTTGACAGATTGCAGCATTCAGACTCAAGAGCCTGATGAAACATTAGATTTTGACTTTAGCAGTGCAGAAGTATTGAACAAGATTATTATGAAAGTAAGAAAGGAAAATATTTCTTTTGGGGCAAGGTTTCTAAAGCAACTCATAAACAATTTTTGTATGGAAGGATCTTTGTTTCAATGTTGATTATATCTGCCATTAACTTGTCAGATACAACTTTTCAAGGCCCTGGCTAAAATCTTGCCCTGGTTTGTTTATGATTGATCAAATCAAGAAAATGATTTATTTTTGCTTATTACAGTCTGAGTGTTTGAAGGAGGCCTTCAATGAACTTGACATGACAAGTGAAGTACTACAAATTTTGATGTCACCAGACAACCCTTACTTTAGACTGTCAACCTTTGGATATGCAGGAAGTATGCATGTAAGGTTTGGTGATTCTAGTCTAAACTTCTCACATTCAGCGTTGTTACCACTTCAAGAGTAACTTTTGAGTTGGTGTGTAATGCGGCAATCAATAAGAAGCTTCAACATCCCCCTTCGGCAACCCTCCAGAAGCTCTTGATTGTGAAACAAATTCTCCTTGTCAGCACCTTAGAAAATGTATAGAGAATAGCATGGGGAAAATGCATACTGATCGATGCTAGGGTGTCAAGGGTAACATCCATAAGTGACCAATGTGTAACTTCTCCCATCCACTTTTAAACATCACCCCAACAGGTGATAAAACTAATTAGAGTATCACCTGGAGGGTATGATCTAATAAAGCACCAAATTTTCTTTGTCTTTTTAACAACGGAAATGTCTGTCAACTAGAAAGGACAGTCACTGAATTTGATCTTGGTACCTAAAGGGTAAAGGTTTACTTTCACTGTAGATAGTAGGAAAGAAAGACTATTCTACCAAGGGAGGAGGGGCAGTGAACTGTTTGGTCTACAAGACTGTCATAGTTTTTGTGTCTTCTTCAATAATAGAAATTGAACGAATATGTAAATTGGCTTTAATCTTGCAGTCTGATTTTCCAAAAGATTCTGATATGGTGGAGTCATTTGAATGTCAACAAACACAAACAAACAGGTATGTGAAAAACAAAAAAAAATATTGAAGATTGGGAATCAAAAATGTCTGAAACAATTTGGCTGACTCAGAGGTACCTTTGTCTTTGTATTTAAGCAAAATTGTGGTTCACTTCATTATGTCCTCACTTAGCTTAATTGCATATGAACTTGAATGTCTCTTGAAGGAAGAGATATTTTGAAAACAGTAAATAGTAGTTTTTCTTGCTGCTAAAAAACTACTAGTTCATGCTTGAATTAGCTTTGATTGGATGGGAATAAAACTCGATGCAACTACATTTAGACACTCAAATCTGACTTGAATTCTCCCTGTGTACTTAGATATAGGATCAGCCTTCTGAAGCCATCTACCAAGGCACTGCAACTTTCAAGTAAAATCTCCATCAGAATGGATGGAAGAGGTTTTCTCTCACTGCAGTATATGATTATAAATGAAGATGGGCAGGTCTCCTTTGTGGAATACTTGGTTGGTTTTAACCATGTTTTACTTGTTATGAGATAATTAACCCTTTGACCCCCAGGTCAACATGACTCACATCTAATTTCTCCTTTGAATTGCATCATTGAATAAAATCTCACATTCTGATTGGTTAATGAAGCAAGGTATTTAGTGTAGAATCACATCATTGAATAAAATCTTGCATTCTGATTGGTTAACAAAGTGAGGTATTTAGCGTGGAATTGCGAGTTGAAAACGAGGCTAAGTGATATTGTTTCGCATCTACGTAAGCATAACAATTTTAAATAATGCTGTTTCCTTTTTTCTCATTTTTATTCCGTTATGTGATTCAAGGAAATCCATTACTTCACTCGTGAATTCCACATTAAATTGCACTTGAAAACCGATATCGCACTCATCGCTGCGCGATTCGTGCCATATCAGTTTTTGTGTGCAATTTAATGTGGAATTCCCTTGTCAAGTAATGAATTTGCCAATAGAATTGCAAGTTAAAAATGAGAAAAGTGATTTTGTTTCTCATCTACATAATTATACAAAACAACTATAAGTAATGCTGTTTTCTTTTTTTCTTGTTTTTATTCAATTAATATGTGATTCAAGGAAAATCCATCACTTGACTTATGAATTCCATGTTAAATTGCACTTGAAAACCCATATTGTACTCACTGCTTCGCAATTGGTGCAACATCAGTTTTCAAGTGCAATTTAATGCAGAATTCCCTTGTCAAGTAATGAATTTTCCTATACAATATCACCCCAGAATAAACTTTAAGCTTACTAGAATAAAGGAAATTACTATCAACTCAAGAATCTCTTGATTGTTAGCCAAATTCTCACTGTCCATAAATGTATGCTGTAGATGTATCAGAACAGTACAGAGAACATGCATACTGATGTCAGAGTGCAAAATACTCATAAAAAAAAGTAACAGAAAGAATGTTGTTGGCAATGTAACTATGAAGTATGTTTTGACAGCATCATAGTCAAATAATTTTCAAGTCTGCTTCTTAAAACTGAAAAAGGTAATAATTATTAGCCATTGCTGTCCAGATACTGACACATATCCAGAACAAAATAATTAGTATTTTGGGTGATGGAAGCTTATATAATGTCTTAATTGAAATAAATATTTCCCCAGTGTGCTCCAGATGAAGAAGTTGATGAGGATGATGAAGATGATCTCAACTGAACAACCACAAAAAGTCAAAGTGAAAAAAGATAGTATTGTAAATCAATCAGCCTGGTAGAAGAGCCGTCAAAAAATGTATTAAAAATGTAAAAATAAAAAAAAAGATAATACCAGTATGTACTAATTGACTGAATAGTTTGGCTAACTAAAAAAGAAAAACAATCAAAGAAACAAATTGGATCGAAATCCTTCAATCACAAGCCAGAAATATGACCTTTAAGCCCTCTGAAACATCATGTGTCATGAAAGATGCAGAAACTAAGTATGAATAACAAATCATACGATAACTGTCCGAGTTCTAGAACACTGAAAGTCATTTTCAAACAAACAACATTTTATTGGTTTGTGATCAAAGTAGATGATAATGAATAAAAAAAGTGTACATGGTCAAACTGCTTATTACTAAATATACCATCATCTACCTAGATTTTGTAACTATTACTGTAACAGTGCGATCAAGTGTTTTGAGTGTTTCAATGTTTCAGACCATACATTTTAAATGCTTTGAACATAAGTAAAAATTTTTTTTAAATACAACTATGATGCATTTTGTAAAATCATTTATTTGATAATCTAAGCACCATATTTATTCACATTTTTTCTATCTGTCATTAAACAAAGGTTGTGAAAAGAGAGGATACATCGCAAGATAAACCATTTTGCTGTCAAACTTTCCACTAAAACACAACACTGATTGTCAATAGCCCATTTCCGAATTACCCTTGGCCTCCTTTTCAAAACGAGTCCTGGTGCTCATCCTTTCGTATGATAAGTTTTCATTCACATGCAAATTAAACTCATTTTCACAAAAATGGTTGAGCACCAGGCCTCGCTTTGAAAAAGAGGCCAAGGATAATTCGGAAATGGGCTATTATGATTGGTCAAATTGGTGGGCTGCATTTTACTATTCAGCCTGCTAAATTCAAAAGTTTTATTTTCATTAAAAATTTCCCCCACTCTCTTTGAAGCCAGAGGTATTATAACTAACTGTATAGTCTGCCCCCCCCCTTCCTCATCCTAACTGAGGATTATTCATAAAAATTTCTATATTATAATGCATGAATGGACACAAAAATGTTGTTGATGTCAGTGATAAACCCCAAACATCTCAACCAAAACAACCCATAATAAGCTTTTTGTAACAACAATTCAACATTGTATATAAGGAAATGTCTGTAGGACTATCTCCCCCGTCCCCCAAAATTGTTTTTCTTAAGCACAGCAAGTGTTGTTTTCTTGCTGAAAATAATTTTTTTTAATTAACAAAATGAGGAAAATGCCTTAAAATTTGGATTGTGGATAACCACTCTGAGTAACTGCTTGTTTTTCTCATCTTGGAAGAGCTATAATTTTTCCCAAACTCCTCATGTATTGTCTTTGTGCTCATACATGAGCAGAATGTAAAACATTCACAAGGAGCCAACAATTTTTGATGCCCCTGATGCCCCACAATATTAGGAGGAAAATAGAAATCAGAAACATTGCTAAGAGAAATGACACTTTCAACCATTCTTCAAACAAAATACAAATTATATATTATTGGAACAAATTCACCTTAAATACTAAATCAGACAACTTGGCTGTTTTGTTCTTCATCAGCTGTTGGTGGTGTTCCCTGCACATCCACTGGAACAACCAATGCTTCTCTTTCAGACATTGCAGGTGAGACTGGATCAACATCCAACAGTTCATCTTCATTATCATCAACACTGTAACTGTCCACAGCTCCATTTTCACAACCAGCTTGAAAAAAGTTGTCTGAAGGGACTGTATCTAACAGTGAACTTGTATCATCATCTTCATTTCTTGTAAACTGCTCCGCTTTTTCCCGATCATTGACAAGATAAATTGAGCACATTATGAAACAAAATCCTCCTATAACACTAATAAAGGTTGACATCAAAAGAGAATATTCCATGCTTTGTGCATGATCCTTGTCACTATTCCCTTCACCTCTGATACGATCAGAAATCTGTGGAAACAATAAAATGTTGAGGTTATGATCCAACTTCAAAGCAAAAAAAAAAACATTCTCCTTAGACAAAAGAATCAAATCAACTTGATTTTCACGAAAAGATGTGCATTCTCTATTCAGCTACCTTACCTCTCCAACAAGCCATGGGCTGCCTGCATCACCAAATAAGTGAGAAACGAGAATTTGAACAGCTTCAGCAGTGGATCGACGTGAGGGGATTATTAAATACTACAAACAAAACAAACATTTGAACCATAAGACAACTTTACAATAATTTTTATCATGTTTTTTTATGCCTTGCAGTGAGTACAATATAATATTCATTTGTTTTCTCTTCCTATTGACTTCGGGAAAATATCTCTTCTGAGAAGTTTTCTTTAGTGGTTACACTAACTTAGTCAATGAAGTGTCATTAAAAGTGGAACAATTGATGCCACATTGTTTTCCATCTGCAGTAAAGCCAGAAAGGTGTTTGAATGTCAGTTAAACTAAGCTTGTTCTTACCAAAACCATGTCTCCTACTGGTGCCCAGTTCATGAAAAGTAACACTTCACCGAAGAATACAAGGGCCTGGCATCAAACAAAATAAAACCAAATTAGACGTAATTCATGGTGCATATGGTCAACAATATGCTGGTATTTATTAGTCAACAAAATGTACTCAATAATAATTCAAGACATAAGAATTGAACTTAGCACATAAATTATCAAATCTGGGTTGATATTTATTTAGGGAAATAATAAGTTGAGTACTCAACATTGATAAAAACAATGAATTTTTAGTACATCTATTCATTTCATTTTAGCCATTAATTATAAATAGGATTGTATTGTATTTTATCATTTCATTGTATATCATGTTGATTTCTTTTGTTATTTGATATTTTTTTCTTGGAAAAATTAGTTTCTATAAGCAACTCTTAAATTCCAGAAAAAAAAGTTTATGTATCTATGTAATTAACCCTTTACAACCCGTTGACATCAGTATACATATTCTCCATACTATTCTCTATGAATTTCCTATGGTACCCACTGGGAAAATTTGTTTTAAATGTGGTTAAATGCAATTTAACGGAGTTCACATCAAAGAGCATCAGCATTCTCTAGTAGTCAGCAGGTTTTTGCCCATGTGCATGCATTACAATTCCATGTGCTCTTTGTTTTAGGTATTCTTGTGTGTGCTTTCAGCGTGTACTTGCAGCCTTCCCAGGTAGTTTTTCCCAACCCATTCCCTCCTTCTTTGCACTGCTTATTCAGTGTGATGGGTGCCTATTTCCCTTTCGTGTGTGGGGGCTCATGGCTGGGTTGCTATGATCTGCCAGCCATGGTAAAAGTCTCCATCTAGGAGCTGGCTGCCAAAAGTGGAAGCTCCTAGATGTTTCAGCCACTCAATCTCCACTTAACGACACAGTTGTCAAACAGTCAATGACTTCTTAAGTTGGTGATCATTTCTTCTCAGAACCTTAATGTTTAATTCAGGGTGATACCATAAATTATGGAATAATAGATGACTGTCACTCCTGGGAGTTAAAGTGTTACAAAGGCCATTGCAGAAACGTGAAAGGACTGGGACACGTTTCTTATATTGATTACCGGTACATTGAAAATCTAAACATTTCAACTGAAATGTTAATGAATGAAAAGCTACCCAGTCAAGTTTGAGAGTTTTCAGCGGAAAAGTGTCCAAATTGGAGCCTTGCAAAAGTTGCAAAAATTCCATCCAAAACCTTAAAATTTTTTGCCCTGTCTACCCAATCCATACAAACTCTATTTTAGGTGATACTTGAAAAGCTGTCATTTTGCCATTTTCCTCCTCTAAATACTTCTATTCTCGCTTAAGACTCTCAAATTAGTTGATCTTTCATTTGAATATCTTAGTTTTTCAAACAAACGAAAAACAACCACACTCTTTCCCAGTCCTCTCACGTTTCTACAATGGCCTATTAATGGACCATTTCTACTTACATATGTCACTTTGATGTTTTTAGATGCTAGTACAAGACAACCATAGAGGAAAGGTGCTGACCCAATTAGTGCAACAGCACATACTAAAGCATCAGCTTTTCTATTCCGTGTTCTATACCGCCAAGCAATCTCTGCACCAAGCCAAACTCCTACAATACCAGCAACACAGGTAATAATCCCAACCTTTAGGCTAACTCTTAAATGGGGGAAAGAAAAAAGAAAACTTTATTAATAGCATTCACTATAATCATCTTATCATCTTTCTTTCTTGTCTGGGCAAGACATGAGAGAATGACTGGCAATTACAACCTTTTGTTAGCTATTTAATGGAAGTTGCTCGACTTGTCTTCCACAAAAATGCCCACTTGCCCAAACACAATGTGAGCTCTAGCAAAGTAACCACCATATCAATTATTATCAAAATTTTAATTTCACCGAAACTACTGCTTTCTAATCGATAGAATTGATGAAATACAATTTCTTCACGACTTTTTGTTTTTGTTGTGGTTTTTTTCTTCCTTTTGTTAGACAATAGAACTGATAGAGCTGCAGAGCCATTTAACACCCTGACCCAGTTATCTTCTCTATGAAAAAAATACTTACTCTGATTCTGTTACTGAAATTCCTTGTGCTTTTGTTGCGTACAGTAAGAATTTTGGTGCCCAAAATGCCAAGGCGCCAGTCACAAATGAGACACAAGTAAATCCCAGATTCAGCCAAATAAAACTTTTCCTATCAAAACAAAACGTTACTGAGTCTGGTCCACCATCATGAACCCATGCTTTGCTCTTTCTGATCTCACAGCAATTATGACAAAAAAAATAAAAAACAGAACAACAATAATGCAACTGCTCATGCAGTTTGATTGTCAAGATGAGAGCAGTCCTGGGGCCCATTTCTCGAAAGTCCCGTTAACTTAACAGGCCTGAAGTCATTTTTTAGAATCAAAATTTGAAGGATATAAAGGAGATTCTGGCACATAGTTTTATTGTATTATTTTCAAAACTTTTGAAACCCCCATCTTGAATGAAAACACAACAGCTTCACATGCCTTTTAACTTAATGTGACCCTCAAGAAACAGGCTCCTGAAAAGGATAGGACTTGTTGTAGTCATACAATGTAGATGTTTGGACAACCTGACAGTCATCATAAGAGTCAAGCTAGAAAGGTACTTGTATTTATCAGAAAGAAAATACATAAAGAAATAAGTACAAAGGATGGTTGATTTGTTCTAACACAAAAATAGTGTATGACATTTTTACATGACATAACATAATAATGCCTTATGTAATTAATTGATAAGATTGTTGAAGCCAATACTACTAGTCGCAGATTTGAGAGACATAAAATTGGTGTGTAAATAAAATGCTATGATAATGTATATTAATCCTGGCATTTGTTAACTATAATTCTAATCTGTTAATAGATCTTGAATACAATTCTGTAGACAAGATGACTAAATAAACGGTGAAATATTTAGAACCTTGGTGATTGTTGCAATGAGCAATACACTGGTTACAGAAAAACCACAGAGAAATCATCGATTTGAATGTAAAAGTAATCCCAGATTACATCTGATTAGCTCTTGTGACAACTTTTGATTAGTTTTGGTTTTACGACTTTCAGTTCTCTATATATTAAGTACTGTGAACCAGGTTACAAAATCTCAGATCAACAACGGTGACTACATATATCTTATTGACCAAGTGCGAGGGCCGTGCTGGGAGAATATCGGCCCGAGGTCCGTACAAAAAAGACCGAGGGCCGATATTCTTCCAGTACGGTCCGGAGAAAGCTTGGTTAATAAGAGATTTATTATACGACTGAAGTTCAAAGGGACACAAGTGCGGTATCATTCGGAACCATTCGGGACAGTGCCCGGTCCAATACTTAGAGAATATTGGACCGGCAATAGAGCATTTTGATCGGTTGATTTTAGTTATTGGCCCTCTGACTGCCCGTGTCGTGTAATAAAAATACTTACACAGTTGTAAGATACTTAAGGTCTGCCCACCAGCTGGTTGTGTTGTGTACATCACAAGCTGAGACACTGTGTGGGTTTTCTCCTCTTTCAATGGCACCTCGTTTTGGCTCATGAACTACAAAGATGCACATGAGAACGCATACTGCACCAATGATAGGGGTCACCTGGAAATAAAACAATTCTCTTATTTGGAAGAATAAGGGAATAACAATCTACTGATTCAATGATTTCTGACCTGGTGGATGTAAGTTAATGATAACTTACAATAATTTTTCTTAATTTGATTTAAGCGTTTGTCTTTGATGGAGCTTCTGAAGTTTACTGACTAAAAAAATCTAACAAATTGGACAAAGCTGAAGTTTTAAAAGTTGCTGCTCAAAATGTAAATGAAAACACTGCCTTGAATTGAATCATGAAAACTACTGCCAGATCAACTTCAAAACAAATGATTCACAGACAGAATCTAAACATAACCTTGTCAAACTACATTAAATTATACAATATCTACCACAATTAACAATAATTTATTGGACAGAAAAACTGTATTTCAATCCCACAATTACTATAATTGTTTATATATCAAAAAAAAAAAAAAAACTTACACGTAGTCCCCATTGCCACTGATGGTCAAATACAGCGGCAACTTCAGTTCCAACTATGTAACCAAGTCCACTGAAAAATGGAATATTATTTTACATATCTCAGGTACCTCAGTGGAGCCAAAAGTTAAAAACAAATGATAGCATGGCCAAAACCAAAGGCCATGTACTACTGTGCAGTTAAAAGAAAATAAACGTGCTTTTAATTATTTCTTGGTCTCATGATCATCCTTGCTCACCTCCCCACAGGAATAGCAAAATAGAAGAAAGACAACATCCTAGTTCTCATATCTCCAGTGAAAAGATCAGCTATGACAGTGGGTGCTATTGTAGAATAACTTGCCTCTCCTATTCCAACTACACCTCTTAGGACAAGGAACCACCAAAAAGACTGTAGATAAAGAAATCAAGAAAAGCTTTTCTACCACTGGTTTCAATGAATTTCCATGCCAAAAACAACAATACTTTATCTAAACATGCTATACCAAGGAGCGCAGGGCCCATTAAAAATTGAGCTTGAAAATAAACACTTAAAAAATTAATAACAATGTATATGATAGTGAAGAGCTACTATAGTGTAAATTCTACAATCATTTTCATGACTAACTAAATACTAGCACAATTTCTATAGCAACCGAAAAAAAATATTCCAAAGCTTTAGCCTTTCTCTTATTTTGTCCTCATTCCAAGGGCTTTATCCTCATGGCAAACAAAAAGATATGATTATACCAATAAAAATAGTTTAGACTTAAATATCATGTGTAGATACCAGTTACATTTGGAGTAAATTCATGTCAGTGGTGATCTTCTTTTTAAAACCAACATGAGATAATTACATTGATCTTAGGAAATGCAGAAGGTAATAGATCACTTTGCATTCTTTCGGAGTTTATGCATGCATGAATACTAAAATTTATTGCATGACTTGTCCATCCCACACATGCAATCCCACAGAAAACTATAGGGAAAACTGATGTGTGTGGGGCCAAACAGGTTGCCATGAACTGGTCCAGAAAAAGCTGTCCAGCCCTGCACTCAATGGCATTGTTGCAAAAAAAAAAAAAAAAAAAAAAAAATTGGTCAGGATTCAAAATTATGACTTTAAGCCAATCATTTTCCTGTTTGCTGTCTCTAGTCAGTCACTGAGTAGATAATAAGCATATATTTGCTTAGTGATTATAATAGCACAAGAGTACTATTTAAGGGATGTACTCACATCTTTGCTCAGCAAAGTGCTAGCAAAAACAGTTGCTGACCAAACAAGTATTCCAGCTGCCATAAGATACTTCCTCCTGTAGCGGTCTCCAAGGTAACCAAACACTGGTGCAAGAATCATATAGCTACAGATGAAGACAGTTTGGAGCAGGCCAGCTGCTGAATTATTGTCTTGTATTCCAAAATATGCTTGGATGCGATTTAGAAGGCCTATTGAAGAATATGATTCATTATATACAGCCAAACTCTTTTCAAGCAGTAACAATGTATTTATTACCTTCAAAAAACAACTTGAAGGGTAATCCTTTAATATCATGGTACCAGGAAAATGTTTGGTCAGAAAAAGTGTGGATCTATTTTAAAACACATCATCTTTTTCAAAGGACTTTCAACTCTGAATTTTGTACAATGCACAATATGATACTTGAGAATATTGAATTCTGCAGAAGTAAATGTTGTTTTTGTGACTTCAAGGCTCTAGGCGAAATGGTTGTTTTCTACAAATCTTTCACTTTCCAGTAAGTAATCCACAAAATATATCTGTGATGGAATATTCTACCACAAATATCCATGTATTTGCAAACTAACAAAGTTAATATCCATTCCAAAAGCAATGTAACTTAATACCCATATCTCAATTTCATTTTCTATAGCTGCTCCAGGATGTAATCAGCCATTTCAATCCCTTACCAGTTTTAACCGTGTTTCATTCCACTTTAATCGCAATCTCCCATAATTGTTCGCACTCTGTAAAAAACTATTTACATCCTCTACAATAAAGACTTGCGCATCAGGTAAAGTAGTTAACTTTTTAAAGAATCCTCTGACTGGCCATCTAGCTTCGTTATCTCTGATAAATTGCTTGCTTTCGTATAACACTTTACCTGCTACAGTTTGTCGGTCCATATAATTCAAGAGATTGATGATAAATAACACTACCACGGTCACATAAGCCCGAACGTTGTTTCCTCGTCTAACTCTAATCATGTTGTCGTCACTTTGGCTTGTAATTTCTGCTACGTCTTCTGCCTGAGCTCCAACCTTTGGATTCGCCACTCCGTTAGTGGCAACTGACATAACAACAAGAACAGATGACTAAAATAGACTAAGCGAGTGATAAATTGCGTGTTTGTGATAGAACATGAGATAACTAATTCAAGAAACTTTCCAAGGAAACCCACAGCTAAAATGGGAAGCTCTATTGTATATAGTAGGCACGGCTACGTAGCAAAACGGCTTGCACTGACTTTACCCTCCCCTCCCTACTTAGAAAAATGTACTCGTCCCCAGTGTTTCTGTACTCGTTATCGTGTTTCAAACTTGATTGATTCTGACAGCTTCGATCAACGAATCTGGTCGATCGTGGCGGGTACTTTTCCCCGATTTGAAAAAGAATCGCAAATTATCCTTCTGCAAAGAAATCAATTCGTTGATCAACCACGGTTAGCTGATCCAAGACACCCACCGGGCTTGACATGGCATCTCAGCGGTGAATTGTCTCATTCTTTGTGCAAACATCTGTCCCGCGCTCAAGAGCTTGTCTTCGAACGGGACGTGGTAACCAAGCGTTTACACTCTTCAAAGTCCTTTCAATAGCACTTGGCCGTTGAACAGCGGAACAAAGCATCGCCTTAAATCTGTGAGACAGGAAAGTTAGGTATGTAAACTTAACTCGCTTTTTCTAGTTGTGTGGCTGAAAGTCTGTCTTAGTTCTCGAAAAAAGTCTTCGTACATTTTAGCTTCATGTTCGTTTCTACCTCAATTAGCGTTGACACGCTAATTCATAGGGAACTAAACAACTCGCCGGAGAATACTCAGTATTTCCTTGACTTTTACATGATTAATCGAAAATTTGATATATCAAGCTGTAAATTACTAGACTACGTGACCAACTACAACTGTTGCATTGCGATCGTTTCAGATAGGGGCGCTCGGATCCAATTTCATGGACATTGAGACCTACAGTACTTATAGAATTCCGTTTGTTAAACAGACGACAGTTCGTTTGTTTGTAATTTGTTGAATAACGAAGTAATCAAACAAGATTTTGACCTTATTTCTTGAAGTAGGATGAATCTTTCTCCGCTTCAACTTTTACTTATTACAAAGCGTTCACGAGTCAATCACAAAAATTTGCGTGTTTCAGTTCATGTCATTATATAACGGAATATCTGATCGCATTTCATAAGGCGGGAGTTTCCTTGTTTGATGATATTTTGACTAACTTTCCACTGTGGTCAACCATCGAGCAAGGAGTCAGAAGTGAAGAATAACTAAAACTTGTTTACTTTTTGTAAACAACAAGGTGATTGTAAACCCCGATGAGGAAACAATCAATTTTGACAAAACCCCCTTAAGCTTTTTATTAAATTTTAGAATAAATTTTCATACAAATATATTTAGATTAGTTTTAATTATTGTGTGGCGTCTGTGAGACAATTTCGTAGGGGGTATGCTCAAGGGGCTTCTCAATTGATCACTGGAAAAAATCTTAATTTTTTTACAAGTCAAAAGGAATTCAAAAATTTCAAGACTGTTGTACATAGATTTCAGTGAAAAGTGAAACTTCTAGAGGCAACACTGGTGTTTCAAAGATGGCTTTAACAGTATAATTAAGTTAACCATTCTGGCTCTTAAACCAAGTTATTATCACTTCCATCTAGCTGTTTTGTGAGAACTATTGTTCTGATCATGATAGCAGTCAGCTATGTTCAGTGAAGTGCAAACAATACCATTGTTTTGGATTCAATTTTGGCAGACAGTATTCTCTACATGTAAATTATTTTTTTATATTCAGCATTTTCAGAATGTTTTTAAGATGAGGGATAATAATTTCATCTTTACAGATAAGAATTGCCAGACATACTTAATATGACTGGGTAAAGTAAGTGTTCATGTCTTCAACAGCTCTCCACCATTCACTGCCAATGCAGGACACATTTCCTATACAGATGACATCCTTTGATCCATAAGTATTGAAGTGACATGATACTGAATAACCAGTGACTGCTTGTTACTGCTTGCAAATGGTTTATTATTGATCTCTAGTAATTGTCCATTTGACTCCCAGAAGTGATTGACATGTGACTTCTCCCATGTTCTCACACCATCCAGCAAATAGGATAATTAGAACACTCACACTTGTTGGCTAGAAGTTGTTTTCTTGATCTAACACCGAATTCTCACAACTAATTTCTAAGGAAATGTGCCACCACTAGAGGGGAGAATTAGCAATGAGATCCTGGGAGTTATAGGTAATTACTCTAACTTATGTATCCCTTTTAGATATCAGCTGTTCTGATACTCATTATGTTACAACAACACTTGATAGGAACATAAAATCTGAACACAAGATTATCCTTGAATGATACAAATACACTGGTATTAAGTTTATCCAGCAAATACATGGAACGGCTATTGGCTTGACTCATAATAGGTTATAATTTTTTTTTTCTTTTTTTTCTTAATTTCCAGATGATTCTGTTTGAAAAAGAGATATGATGGATGCAGATACTAGTGGACACTCTGATATATCTATATGCAGTGATGATACAGAATTTCTTCTAGGTCAGAATATCTCCATCCGGGAAATAGATGACGATGATGTCATCCAGGCCCATGAAAGTGTGAAAATCCCTTCATCTGTTAGTAGATCGTACCATTTGTCACCTCAACCTTCACCTCAAAAACTGCAGCAAATCAATTCAAGTAATTTGAGATCTCCACAAAGAAAGGGAGGGATTACTAAGCCAGGAAAAGGGCAGGATGTTATACCAAGATCACCAGGTCACAGCATAGCAAAGCAATTTTCTTCTGTAGAATCATCTAAGAGTAACATCAAAGCAAAAGCAGATAAGAAGTCACAACCTCCACAGAATTATACACCAAAAGAAAATTTAAAGGGGCAAACACCTCAGACTGGTTATGGTTCAGAAGCAGTGAGATACAGTCAAGATGGTGAGAGGACACCAAAAAGTAAGAAACAAGTTCCAGAAAACTTTGCCAAGCATCCACATGGTATAGGTAAATTTCAGTCACCAGAGAATCACAAATCAATTCACGCGCATCAAAATGCCACTGGTAATCCATCCTTGAAGTCTGATTCATTGTACAAACCATCACAATTAATTCCGCCATTAAGAGACAAAGCAAATTCAAAAAGAAAGCAAGTTGAGTTTGGTAGGTCACCATTAAAAGAAAACTACATTCCTGGCAATCAGAACAACTGGGAAATAGACTCAGAGATATCACTAGACTTGGTAAATGGTGATCAAAAGTTTGTTGAAACAGAAACAAATGACTTGGAAAGTCAAATGTCAGAGGCAACTGAAGATCTGGTTGCAGGACAGGATGGAGATGAAGAGGATTTCACAGAGAAGCTCAAGGAACTTAACTTAGCTGTGAATTATGATGCTGATACAAATGGTGAGTTGTATTTTCTAAGACTTTTTGTCTATTCCCTGAAAGACTTGTTATTTAAATCACTCAACAACATAATTATGTCCACAACAAACGAGAGAAGGGTTGGGTTCATGTTACTGATAATGCTTTAGACTCTCAGAGCTTGTTTGGCAGACTGACTGAATCAGTTTCTGCTAAAATGAACATCTAAAGAAAGAGGGACAGGATATAAAGTCCTTTAACAGTGTGAAATATTTTACTGTGTACAGAATACTTTGACGACAAAGTAAGAGAAGGAGCAGAACTTTTATCCAAACTGTTTGGTGGTCAGGTGGATAATTACTACAGCTCCTCCAGGTGAGTTAAATTGATTTCAACATTGGTTTTGCTTCGCTATACTCACAACCAATCAGAAACAAAACTAAAGCTATTTAAATTGTGATTATTCACATTCAAGACCGTTAACATACAGGTATGTTTACCCTTTGTCAAAATCGTGATTATTTCCATGAAATATTTTCACTTTTGGTGATTAGTCATTTTTTTTCTTTCCTTTTGGCTTAAGGATTCTCAATCATCATGCTGTCCTGTTGGAAATTAATGTCTCAAACAATTTTTTTAATAATCAGGGCAGACAGGGCTACACAATCAACTATTACTCCTGGGTTTGGACCATTTTTAACAACATTTTGTGGTGAATTCAGTGTAAAAATAAGATTATAACATATTGCTAACCTTTCCTGCTTCATTGAATCTAACTTCTCATCATTCTGATCTAGAAATGAGCTAATCATGTCAACTAACATCTCCACGAATAATGATTACCATAGCATGAAAAGACAGCCCTTGTATATGCAGACATTGAAAGTTGGGTAAGACAGCTGATGCTTGCACTCTGACAGTTGTGCAATAACAAACTTACAAATATTCTTATGGTTTATTTTATTGTAATGAAATTAGGAAGTGAAAGTCTTGGTAACCCTCCATGAGCAAGATAATACTTAATAGTTAAATGGCCAGCACAAACACTACCAGTCTGTGAAATCATGCTGCACTTAGCCAGTGCTAACAGGTTTAACAGTATGAGGGTGTCCATTCTTATTGCTGGACAATAACAATTATTAATTATTACACGACTCGGGAAGTCAGAGGGCCAATAACTAAAATCAACCAATCAAAATGCTCTATTGCTGGTCAATATTCTCTCAGTATTGGACCGGGCACTGTCCCAAATGGTCCCAAATGATTCCGCACTTGTGTCCCTTTGAACTTCAGTCGTGTAATAAATCTCTTATTAACCAAGCTTGCTCGGGACCGTACTGGAAGAATATCGGCCCTCTGTCTTTTTTGTACGGACCTCCCTGCGCTCGGTCTGTACTGTCAAGACCTCGGGTCGATATTCTCCCAGTACGGCCCTCGCACTTGGTTAATAAGATATATTTATCCACTACATGTAACTCGAAGTTGTCTGTAATATTGCTGTAAGGAAATGAGTGTGGCTTGTGGGGTGAATTTTTTGTAATATGCTTAAGCTAATGAGTGATCAGAGCACTAAACAGACAGCTCTCTCACCTACAACAGCATCCATCCTCATCACCAAATAATCCAGATTTCATAATTATCCTGAGATATTCTTTCATAAAGTGCTGCACTTGACAAGGGAAGGGGGGGGGGTGTGGAAAGAGTTCTTGACCTTATCAATACCCTTTACTTGTAATCCCAGGACATCGAATAATGTTAATGTTTTTTATGTTTTTTAGCAACTATTTCTGAGCACCTTGGATTTGTAATGGATACCAAGTTATGTTACTCATACATGTGGATAGTCAGTTGATTGCATTTGATTTTTTTGTAGTGGTCAGTCTAAGAGCTCAGGATCAGCAAGTGTCCAGGAAGGTAAGGATGTACAGAGCATAGTTGGATGTTTAGATTCTTTTTTAGTTTATAGCAAATTCTCTTGGGTTGCTGGATATAGATTGGAACATTTTCAAACGTAACTACTGCACTTGAACAATAATGATGATGATGGTGATGATCATAATGATAGTAGTAAAGATGATGATAATGATTATAATTTCAGATGAGAACAAGTTCAAAAGAGAAAATTTTCTGGAAAAATTAACTTTAGACAAAGGCAAAATTAAAAGCTTCTTCAAACCTGGGGAAAACATCCATTGTACTGATCAAAGGGACCTAAATTCTTGAAATACATTTTCATGCCCAGAAAAGAGGATAGGGAAATGTCTGAGATGAAGCTGTCACTTTATTGTGAAACCTGTTCTACCAAAACATCAGTCTTGACTGTTTGCCATGATTCAAATATTTTGCGTTTTACAAAAATCGTGTTTTAACAGTTTCTAGATCTGACAGTCATCTTGAGGAAAGGAGAACTCAAAGTCACACCAGTAGCACTACACAGCGGTCTCTTCAACAATCCATTTCACCACAAGTGCAGTCACGAACAGAGGAACAGAACAGTGGGACCTTAACAGATCAAAGCAGCTCCTTCGAGTCTAGTGTGTCAACATCAGCTAGAAGACGTAGAGCAGCTGGCCGTAAAGAGGTGCGATTTAGAGATGAAATGGCATCATCAAAAGAAATTCCGCAGCGTGACCATCATGTGGCAACAGATGGTGAGTTTATTCAAGAGACTTCTGCTTTTAGAGCAGCAATGAACTATGATGATGATGATGATGATGATGATGATGATGACAATGCTAGTGATAATACTGAGGAGCAGAGAAAGTATTATTACAATCACACTGACAAGATGAATTACACACAAAATAGAAGGGTGATACCAGTGCAAAATCAAGATGAGTTAGGCACAGAAACTGTCCATAATTATGAACCAAGTGTAAAATCAAAGTCTTCATCAAAGCAGCAAGGTGAGGATAGTTGTAGATTACTGATTTAGAAGAAGATACAGAATGCAGCAGTCAATATATAAGTAACAAATATATTTTTGGTTGCTGACTGTATCTGTTTAGTTGTAGACCGCTCATGACATCAAAATGTGGTATGCACAAAAATGTTGCACCACTGTTCTTACCACATCTTGATGTCCTTCATGATTCATTAATGAACAGATGCATGGCAACTTGAAATATAGTGAAGAAGCAAAAGTTGTTAATGGTGACATCATCTATGAAAGTATGCAAGTATGTAACTCAGCTTATCATAGAAATGCATGTAACAGCTCACTACTACCCCATGCAACACACTTTAAGCAAGAGAAATATAACATCACATCACTGCACAAGTTTGTTTACCCAACAGTTGACTGTCTTTTTACACCTGTGTTAGTTGAGCTTGATATAGCACTTTATCTACCTATTTGCTCACACAGAAGACATGGATATGTATACAGGATTCTTGTCACATATAAACCTAGTGTATGACTGAGTCCACAAACAAGTCCTCTACAACTCAGCAGTACATAGCATCTGACTGCATAATTTATGCACACATTTTTTTGCAGGAACGTCTCATCATAATTCAGATGAAGGTTTTTCATTGCAACACAAGAACAGGACTGTGCAGCGGTAATTATGATGGCCTTCATATCCCATTCAGAGTACCATTTTGTATCTTACATTATTTTTTCTTGTTCTCCTTGGTTTTGCAGGTTTAATGTGGAAAAGTTTTCTGATAGTGGGACCTCCAGAAGGTTGGACTATCAGGACAATGGACCAGTACCTCCAGGATTTATGACTTCAACTCCTCACAAAAAATTTGAGCCTGTCTTTTCATCACCCAAGGCTTTTCAGGTTGGTTAAACCATTTAGAGTAGAATACCAATCAGTTTTGATATGCTGGTTCATATAATGGAACAAGTTCCTGGGCTTGATTATTATTACCAGCTCTTTAAATAGTTATTAAGGAAGACAAGTCATGCAGACCAAATGCATTTTCAGGGTTTGTATGGGTTCTGGAAAACCTGAAAATTCCTGGAATTTTATTTTGACATTTTCCAGGACTGGAAAGTCCTGGTAAAAGACCACAGGTCCTGGAAAGTTCTGGAAAGTAGCTTAACTCAAGCAATAAAGTTTTCAGAATTAACATTATAAGAAATACAATAAATATATGAATATATGAAGTTCAAAATTATAAGAAATGTATGTAGACTGTATGGAGCACTGATTTTGATATCTTGGGGAAGAAAGGGTTTAAAGTAATCTTGGAAACATCAATCTGAGTCCTAAAAAAGTCCTTGAAATTTGTTTTTGGAAAAGAGTTTCTCATAACTTAGTGGGGTGGACCACTGACCTAGGGGTCTGTGCCCAAGCCATGACAGGGTTTCTGTTGTGTTCTTTGACCAGACACTTTGATCTTACAGTCCCCCCTCTCCCTCCCCACCCTAGAGTAGAAATGTTACCAGCAATCTGTCAGAGAAACCTTACAAAATGCTGAGGGATATTCCTTGATGCACTAGGAGAAAAAGGTATATTAATTATCCCTACATGACCCGCACCATTCCTTTCTGGTTCACACGTCAAAAGAACAATGTTATTCTCTCTATGAAAACAGGTGTTTCTTAACAGTCATTATACTAATCAAAGATATTACACGCATGTTCATTATCTTAGACAGAGAAAGTGGAGGCGCAAAAAGAAGCACAGAGGATAATGCTAAAGGTACCGATAAGAGGGTTGGGGAAAATTAAATTTCTTTCACTTAGAAGAAATGATTTCCTCCGAGGCACGTGTAGTCCTGGCTTGATTTTACCTCCCTCTCCTCCTCTTTTCGATACTCTTCTATTTTAGACTGGTGCAGCACTGAAGTGGATCAGACTCGTTATTTATTATAGTTGCAGGAAAATGAAAGGAAACTTAACAGAAGCTTACAAGAAGTTAGAGACGTGGAATTTGAGCTCGAAGAAGCCGCATCAAGAAAAAAGGTACCACTTTGATTTTTTAACGACAATAGAAATGATAGAAGGTTTACTCAAGTTATGCTTTCCTCCAACTAGATCGCTTTGCAAGAACTTCAAGTTCTAGAAGAAACGATCACACGGAACAAAGCAGAAGTCAACTCTTCCGAAAATCTGGTAGAACAGTACAGGCAACAAGCAACCAAAACTAGGTAAGTTTTGGTGGTCGAATGCTCTTGACGTTATGTTTGTTTGTTGTGGTTATAACGTTTTGGTAGGTACTTGGTGAAATCCTTCATACATTCATCAATACAGAAGAACATATGGGAATACATGGTCATTTGCATTCATTAACATACATTAAGGATTACACCAAGTGCTTACCAACGTTTTGATAAACCGTAACCATGAATGCGTCTGATCAAGATTAGTTTGGTCTTATCCTGGTTTTGCAACCCCCCGGCCCGTGGGATGGGAGAGGAAAGGGAAAACTTTCTTTACTCAGTTTTAGCGTCTTCAAAACGAGCATTGAAAAGGAAATTTTGTCTCGTAGCGTCTGACACACTATTTCACATACTGAAAATTACAGATCCCAGCTCATGGACCTTGAACTACAGCGAGACAACATCCAACATGAAATCAAAGAACTCCGAAACTGTCTCGCAAAACAGAAACAAGAGTCGGAACAAGTTGTAGAAGTCGAGAAGAGAAACGAGTTGAAAGTCCTAGAGTTGAGTATAGAGAGAGATCAAATTCAAAGCGAAGTGGAGTCATTGCGATCTCAACTTAACCACGCTGATGGAAATTTTGCTCAAGAAAAACAGAAGTATGTGGAAAAGCTAAGATTTGCTCAAGATCAATTGCAAGAGGAGCATCGAACATCGAAAGAAAGTGTTGAAAAACTCAAACAGGTTGGTGGAAATGTTGCCATAACACAGCTTTGAAGAGATTTGATCTTGCGTGGTATATGAGCTAGTGTAGTATAAAGTGTGAAGTATATCGGAGTCGATTTCGAGTAAGAAAACAACGTTCAAAAATTGTGATCGTCAAGGTAAGAGTAGTCCTGAAAAGAACTTTAGTCAGAGGATGTTTCAAAAACCTGAGTTGAGAGTGGAAGTCATCGTCAGAGCCACATGAACAACAAATATAATCTACTGCTGTGTTAATAGATTTTTATTTTATTCTCTTTTTATTCTATAGCAACTTGAAGACGAACGCCAGAAGGCGCGGGACTCACACTACGAAAGAATCAATGCCATTCACAAATTACAAGATGAATCCAAAGAGATGCATGAAAAGGAAATTGAAGTGCTAAAAAACAGATTTGTGAGGGTAAGTGATATAACACGGAAGCCAGGACTACTTTGCTTTTCACCCTTTAACGCCTACGAGTTTTAATTTTTTAAGAGTTTTTCTAATTTTTTTAATTACAACTTAAGGTCACGGGAATTAGGGTAACGATCTCTGACTAAAGAGGCTCCTGATTGCTAAAAAAATTCTCCATTTCAGGACCGTATGAAATGTTTGGAGAACAGTATGGAGAATATACAAACTGATGTTAGGGTGTAAGAGGCCGGTTACTTCTCAACAGTGACTTCATTTTAAGGTTACAGGCCAAAATGTAGTTTGCAGCAATAAAAACCCTTTTTTTGTGTTTTTTCTTTACTTTTATTATCCGCAAGGTGGAGTTTTCGACGGTAATTCTTGCGTTCTCCCCCGCTGGATCGTTTTTGAATAAGTTTACAATACAAAATGAAAAGTCCGTTTTCTTTCCTTTTTATTTTTGTAACACAGGAAAAAGAAATGGAATTGGAGACGTTGCGTGAAAAAACCCGAAGAGATACAGAAGGACTCAATAAAAAGTTACAGGTACACTTATCAATGCAATCAGATAGCTTGAAAACATCTTAGAATATGGTCCAGTACTTCTCCGCAGAAAACTTGCCTTGCGATGAAAAGCTTTAACCCGTTCAATTTTAGGATCTAGACAGTAACTCCACTCCATGGCTACCTAAACTTTTGTTTGACTCATCATCTGAGAATTTAATGTCAAAGGTAACAATGAGGATTTGAATTTTCACTTCTGCTTGACAGTGTAAATATTGAATGGAGGTTGGTCACACTTACGCCGAAAACACGGCACGTGACAGGGTTGTTGTCCTTTTGTTTCCTGTTCCATACTATTAACTCCTCCACCTCCGCTCTCGAGGCTTTGATGCTTCTGGTCTGATCATAGTTAGCCTCTTGCAAGCGTTCAGTCAGTTGAGGGGGKGGGTGCGTAGTAATCAGGTAGCGACCTCACCCAAACCTCTTCGTTTCGTTTTGCGCCACTATCAGGCTTCGTGCACAAACTCAGCGCCTACAATAGTCTTCTAATTTAGTTAGATGGCTGTTAAAGAATAGCTGTCTTCAACGACCTTTTTACTTCGCCATAGGAACAAGATCACACGATATCTCATTTACAGAGCAGCTTGAAGGAGTACGAGGAGGAAATAACAAAACTCAAGACTCAAGTATTACAAGAACAGAAGAAGTTATTTGATTGTGAGAGCGAATGGAAAGAGAACTTAGCAAAACAAGACACACACGTCAAGTCCTTGAGGATTGAGGTACAAGGCTATTTCCATAAAGTTTAACTACCCACAAAAAATGCAAAAGGAAGTCACACACTTGTGCACTTAAAATAAAGTAAACGCCCACAAATCGTGAGAAATCGATTTTTTTTTTTGGTGTTTTGAAAGATGGAATAGCACTATGTACTTCTACCCATCCAAAGTAAATTGACAACGTAACGGACCAATAAATCCCAAGCGCAGGAAGTAACACGAAACCAATCCCGATTCATTTCTTCTTGGCTCACATTTGATTAGAAAGAAAGCCGAGCAATTTTGAGCTTAGGAAAATGTAAAGATGTGCGCTAATTTTGTAAGTCGCCCTTTTCTTAACTGATCTTTGTTCATCGGTTTCGTTCTCTGGATTATTCTCAGATTGACTCTCTGAACGAAAACGAAGCATGTCTCCACGAAAACATAAGAAGAACTGAGCAGGTAAGTTGATGTTGTTACGGTGAATCGAATAGCTGGTACAGCTAGCTTTGCCTGTAATCTGCTCCTCCAGTGACTGAGGCTTTCTTGCGATCTTTCAGCTTCTGGAAGAGAAAATTTTGGAATTGAAAAGACATGAAGAAAAGTCCTCTTCTCTGTCTGAAGAGCTCAAGCAAGTTATGAAGGTAAGCAAGTGACCCCGCGTTCTGTATTCGAGTATCTGAATAGTGCGAATGAGAAGTAATTCTGTAAGTGGCAGTCACTATTAAATTCTTGTACGGTGACGGAGGTCTTACGGCTGTCTGGTAAGGTCAGGTCAGCCCTACTAACACAGAGGAGCTTGTTGAAATTGTAGCGTGATACACCACTATCACTGTTAACCCTGTTGAATCCCTCTTCGACCTCCGCTGAAACGGACTGAATGAAAGGCTTATAAGTTCCCCTTGAAAGTTTCCCTGAAACTCTTCTTTTTTCTGGTAGAATAAAGATGACGAGATTACGATGTTGCGGGGCCTGGTTCGTCAGCAGGAAGACGCCACAAGATTATTGGGAGAAAAGTTGAGAAACGAAGCACAGGAACATGTGAGTTTACAGAAATATTGCAATTTGAAACACGGCATACTCTGCAACACGTCAATTTTATGTTGCTCTTGATGATAAGCCCAGATTAAGTCCTTTATAATTCTGAACCGGATGGTACCCCTTACGACTTCAAAGTTATGGCTAGCAAGATTTGTTTCTGTTGTAACCATCGTGGGCGATCCTCTTCACCAGAGGTTTTCACGTAGAGCACTATTCGATTGAGTGTCGTAAAACCAAAACCAACAGCCAATCAGAACATGAGAGAACCAATGAGAATGTAAAGGAATAACCAGGAAACTGTGTAAAACGCGGGAAGACACGTGTGGCTAAGGTGCGATTTGTTTTAGTTTTGCATCTGATTGGTTGACAGGGAGTGTCTCGAGTTTTCTGGACCAATAACAGTACAAAGTAAAGCCAAACTAAAGCAATCTGGGATTACATTCGACACCCCACTTAAAATTTCTCTAAAGGAAAAATGAGTCTCCCACACGAGGATTCAAACCTCAGACCTTTGGAATTCTGGGCCTGTTGCTCTACCAATGAGCGAAGGAGAACTCATTGATAGCTGGGCCAATAGGCAACGCCGCATGGCTCTACCAATGAGCTAAGGAGAACTCATTGATAGCTGAGCCAATAGGCAACGCCGCATGGCTCTACCAATGAGCTAAGGAGAACTCACTGATACCTGGGCCAATAGGCTACGCCGCATGGCTCTACCAATGAGCTAAGGAGAACTCACTGATGCCTGGGCCAATAGGCTACCCCGCATGGCTCTACCAATGAGCTAAGGAGAACTCACTGATGCCTGGGCCAATAGGCAACCCCGCATGTTAGTTTCATATGTGACAAGCATCCTGTATACTGTATTTAAAAGATTAGCAATGTCAAAAGCGTCGAATTTGAAAACGGTTCATTTTGAGCTAGATTGTCGAACGCCGAAAGAACAATTTCGATCTTTTGACATCAGGCTCTTTAAATTGTTTCCTCGTAATATTTTAAGAAACAAATTATTATTAAATGACTGATTGTTATGTCTGGCAGATTCGAAATGCTCTGGAAAAGGAACGGGAGTCAACAGATCGTGAGCGTGCTCGGCACCAGGCCAAACTGGAGGAAATACGTGACAAATATGAATCAGCTCTGAAGCAAGTGAGAGAGGAACTGGAAACTGAGAGACAAGGACATCATCACCTTCATGCTTCAGTCAATAAAATTAAAAAGGTTGGTGGAAGAAGGTCCTCCATCACTGTCAGTAACCAGAGGTGCTGATGCCACTCTTAAAATTTAGGAGCTGCCTAAACTTTCGAAGTTTGTCATTTGGAATCCGTGCCAATTTTCGCCATTGCGATTTATTCATGTTCCCTTTCGTTTTTCTCTTGCTCCTTTGGTCTTTGTTTACCCATTTTATCGGTTTCTTCTGATCAACGATCCAAGTACCACCCGAAATATGGTGATGCAACTCCTTCAAGACAGCAGGCAACTTTTGTGGCGCAATAAATTACTGATAAAATCACTCTCGCAAACTAGGAAATTGAAACTGGGGTGTTACGAAGAAATTTACGAAGAAATTCGCATTCTTTTTGTCGAGGATTTAGCAAATTAACTTTCAACGAACCCTCGAAATGTTATTTAATCGCGCACTTTCTGCTTATTGTCTCTGGTTGTGTGGCAATGTGATATTGTTTGACTACAGTGTCGATGCCTTGCAGGAAATTGAACGGTTACGAGAATTGAACCTGAAGGCTGAACAGGAAAAAGTAAACGCGGTGGCTCATGTTAGAAGTGAAGCTAAAGAAGAGATTGTGAAGATGAGGGATAAACTACAGGAGGTAGCAAAGAAATTAGTGTATGATACTACAGGCGCATCTCCTATGATGACCACTATGTTATATGTCTAGGCAGGCAGACTGCCTATACATTGACCTCCAAACACAACTTTCCACAAAGAAGTGACGATATACTTTTATCGCTGAAAACTTTTAATGGAAACAGCAGCTATTTGTATTTACTTGGTGATTGCTAACAGCTTACTTTGATTGATTTAGCTGACCGCATTAGCAGAGACCTCCGAGAAAGAGACCGCCATGGAACTCACAGAAGAGTGTCGGAAAACGGCCGCGTTGCTCGGAGATTCTGCAAACACGACCCCTGTGAGGTAACCACAAATTAACAGAGACGGGAGTGCATTTTGAACTGGTCGTGAGACCAAAACTGAAAAAAAATTATCTCTTACTTCCAATTACTTCATAGATAAAAAGCACAAGTGATCAATGAGACTTAAGAGAGTAACATAACCGCCTAAAGCTCATCTGATTGGTTGAAAAGGTGGCCCAAGGTTTCTTGACGAATCACAGGGTCGCAAAGTGAAACCACTGCATTACTTTGGACAATCACGCCCAATTGAAAATCCCCCCAAAATGTTCCATACTTAATCGGTTCTATTTGTAAAGAGTCTGGGTCATTTTAAAGTAGTTCTTTCTAAACTAAAGCCAATTACTTTTTCTAAACTAAAGCCGATTTTTTTTTCTTGTAGGAATTTGTCAAGCAGTTATGTTGGTGAAAGTCCTCGATCAACCACAGACAGTCCCGCCCGGGAGGCGCTGGTAACTAATAAAGTTGTAGATTTGTTGAAGAAACGTTACCACAACATTTACTGGGAACTCTTTTTCAGTTGTTAGACTGCTTGGTATGTTTCTTCTCTTCAGAGAAAAAACGTGCTCTGTGTTTCGTTTAGTTGCAACCCAGGCCATATTCCATAACCGCTTCTTTAATTTGTCAAAATTTTCGATTTGTTCTTCTATGAATTACAGCTGAATCTGCGATCTTACAATGAAGAGTTACGACAGCATTTGATTGAAGCCCGTAAAGAGCTGGAACAAAACAAGAAGCAGGTATTTATCACTAAGGAGAGCTCAGCGAAGTATATTTGACCCTCAGTAATGGAAAGCAGGAAGAATGGAAGAAAGATGTGTAAAGTGTGACAGAACGCTGGTTCTGGTGTGTTGAACTCAGTCAGCGTTCAGATCAATGAATTTTGATGGATCAAGTTTTGTTGATTAGCTGATAAAGTAAAGCTCTTGTTTGTAAGCATGACCTCGTCCCAATCAAAGTTTTGTCCCAATACATTCCATCCTATCATAGTAAAGGTGGAGGCGCGGTGGCCTCATGGTTGGTGCGCTCGACTCTGGATCAAGTGGTCTGGGTTCGAGCCCTGGCCGGGGACATTGTGTTGTGTTGTTAGACAAGACACTTTACTCTCACAGTGCCTCTCTTCACCCAGGTGTATAAATGGGTACCGGCAAATTTAACGCTGGGGGGTAACCCTGCGATGGACTAGCATCCCATCCAGGGGGGAGTAGAAATACTCCTAGTCGCTTCATGCCACAGAAACCGGAGTTAAGCGCCGACCTGATGGGCCACTGGCTCGTAAACAGACTTTTTTTTATGTGATCGTTCTTGTCGTTGTACAAGGAAAGGCTTTTGAATGCCCTCCGTTGTATTCTCAATTATCTTCTATCATTGAACGCTTAGTGATAAATTAAATTGGTTTGTCTCTTCTCCCTCCCATCCCATCCCACCCCATCCCACCTCCCTCCCCAATCTAATGTCATTAGGTAGCAGCGATTACTGTGGCTAAGTTTGTCTTTGTTGTTGGTTCTCCCTTTCTCTTAATGGATTTTTTTCCTCTTTCTTAAACCGCAAATTTCAACTCAATGATGCCCGTATGTACTCAAACCAGGGCTCGAGCTCGTAGGCTTTACATTCATAAACAAATTACTCATTGTCATCCAGGAAAGTATTGGACTGCAAAAACTATTTCTTTCAGTATGCAATCTTATGAGGTGCATGAAGATTACTTAACAACTGCACATAATGCAGTAAATTTAGGAATCAATCAATTTATTTCGTGCTGTTACTTCATTCAGTTCCAGCAACCGGGTAGCGGAGACCCGCTCACTCCGCAACAAGTACACTTATTCAAAAAGACGCTCATTGCCAAGGTAGGAATTTGATGGAACATTCTGCCGGTTATCCTCGACTTGGTGGGTTTTCTGATGTTCTCTCTCTCTCTCTCTCTTTTTATCTTTTCAGGATGAAGAAATAGCCAGAGGAAAAAGGTAACAAAAACTTTTTCCTTCCCTTTTTCGAAAAAAAGGCAAATCAATGCTTGATTATTGTTTTCTCTTATCAACAGGCAGCTGCAAGAGGAGAGTGAAAGGAATGCATTGCAGATCAAATCAGAGAGAACGGTAGGCTATTGATCACTTCTTTGTGTGACGTTAAAGCAGCTGCTTAATGGGGCTAGGTCACACTGAGTTTGCTCATTGAGTTCTTTCAGTTTGGCACTTAAAGCGGTAACCGCCGCCCAGTTAGCCCAATGTATAGTGCGCTGGACTGTTGTGCGGGAGGTCGAGGGTTCAAGCCCCGGCCGGACCAACACCCAAGGTCTTAAAATAAATGAGAAGAATTTGCTACCTTTCTATAACATCAAGAAATAGTTAGATATTCTAGTCTTCTCGGATAGGAACGAATAAATGGAGGTCCCGTCTCCTGCAGGGTTGGGGTAGGAGACGTTAATTTCCCACACACGAGATTACTGTGTGATGGATGTCCTCCCCTGGGGTGGGATGGGTGGGTACAAAAGGGTTAGGTGTCAATTGGGACGAAAGTTCTGTTCCTTTCTCCTGCCATTCCCGTGGCGAATGAATCAAATTCTAAAATTGTGTGAGAACTTCAATTAGTTTTCTGTTTATTTCAGGCCTATCAAAAGACCATAGATCGCCTGGAGAAGGAACTCAAGCAGGCAAAGGCTGCGGTAAATGCAACTCCTTAATAATAGCAATGATAAAGAAGTATTATCGTGATTTTTTTTTACTTCTGATGGAGATAGCGACGTTTTGTCTGCATAGCACGGTCTTTACTTTTCTACTGAACGATTGCGTGTCCTACACAGAACATTTCGTTTTTGTTACCCTATCGCTTTTTACAATCATCTTATTTACCCAGACTCCCGCTGGCAGCCCTATGATAAACGGGACCTCCTCTCCTCCAGAGAGTGGCGTTGGCACCAGTCTCAGTTCGACGACTCCAAGCCCGAGGCCTGGAGAGGACTCTAGCACGGCACGTCTTTTACGACACTTGCAAGGCAGAGTGCAACAGTTGCGGGCGCAAAATGATAGTCTGCGGAAGTCATCGGAGAACGAGTCCTTAAATGACAGTCATTGTAGTGTGATGTCAACGGAGTCGGTAAGATATCTAGTTACACGTTACCAAAGGAGCCACTGTGCCCACTTTGATTGGATGTTTAAATCTTTCGCTCTGACGGAGAAGTAATGCTGGATACGTTAGCTTAAAAACTCTTTACGGTGGTTGGTTTACATTATCGACTCGTTTGACAAAACCAAATTATCTCTAAGATATTGTTCCCATAACTTTTCTTTTTCTTGGAGTTCACTGAACCAATTACCTCATGTAGTTCCTGAAAAATCCTTTCTTACCACAAACTAGAAAGACCAGCGACCCGTGTTGGTGGTTGCTGGTCTGGTGGTTATTTTTCCCCTTACCGTGTCTACATCCAAGATAAATGGTGGAACAGAAAATTAACTCTGGTAAATTAAAGTGCTAAAGCACTTGTGTTTATAGTGCTACGCGTCACAACATTTATATGTACCCTCACATTCAAGATAGATATGTAAATAGTGTTGAAATTCAAATCACTAATATTTTAGGAAACTATACAGAATTGACTGGTTCTGGAGCTAAGACCTGCACTGACTTTCTTTATATTTAGAGTTTGAATCATGGTTTTGGGTATCGTAAATTTACCAGGACTATCAAGAAACTGGACACTTGTTTATTTGCTAACCTTTAGAATTATATCCATTCCTCCATCTTTAATTTCTTTTACCTTTCTTCTTATACTTTTCATTTTTTTGTGTGTGTGCAGTTCAACGGAGGCGAAACAGAAGAAACCAAAAGACTTCATGCCGCACTGAAGGTGTATATTTCATTCCATCATTCATCTTTGCTTTTTTCCAGTCCTTAAACTCTTTATCCATCAGGCTACGTTCTACTCCTAAATTTCAGAGAGTTCTTCGAAAGTCGTCATGGAGAAGATCAGTAAATCAAATCTTTCTAATTTCGAAAGGGTAACAACCCTTACACAAGATTAGCCGTTTGGTCTTGTTTTATTTAAATAATTAATGAAATGTTACTTTATGTGTTTCCGCCATAGACAACAGAGGACAAAGCCCAAAGAAACGCAGCTATGCTGAGTCAGAAGATGATGGAGATGACCAAGCTACAAAAAATGCTCACGCATGCGACCAAGGTAACTTAACGTTACATGACATCAGGCACGCTTCGCCTAATAATTTAGCTTTGGGTTCTCTGAGACGTTTAGTCATTCGGTTATTCACTCTATGTTGTGGCAATAAAAGATAACACTTGTCGTTTCGTCGGTGGAATATTTACATGTTTGTTGTCTCCTTAATGTTACTTCGAGTTTTCTCAACATAATTTTAGAAAAATAACCAGATTACATACCCGGTTAGTTATCACTTCCGCTGCAAATCCCGACTTACTACTCACTCGGTGTTGCAAGTACTCAAGCTATATCGTCTCTACGATAAAGTCCGTTGTAGAACTCTGCTGAAACGACAAGAAACGAAATTCACATGTCGGGGCGACCATGATGATTTTTTTAAATGGAGCACATGACACCAAACTATAAAATGATTGGTTGAGGTCGACTTGCATTTTGTTGATAAGAGTAAGTGAAGACTCCATTCAAAAATCTTGATATACCTTTTAAATAGCAATCGCAACTATAACCCATATTAATAATTATCTATCCATTTTGCAGGAAAATATGAAGCTGGAAAGAGCTTACGCTGCCTTACAACGCAAAATTATCGACAACTCCAGATAACACAACGTGCTTTTGTATTATTTTAGAATTTTCTCACATACTTACGTTGTAAAGCGTCTATAATTCGTTCAGATGTGTCCTTCGTCGAATGTTGCGTTTGATGTTGTTTTTTTTTTGTTTTGTTTTGTTTTTTTTTTAATACTTTTAAGAGTGTTTTTCGAAATTTGAAATCCTTTTACCCATCAATATTTTCGGCGGTTATCTCAGTGAATTTAGGGATCGTGATCTTTTTTTGTATTTGCTTAATCCTCTTAAAACCATTTGTAAACTCAGAGAAGTTTGACGAGCTGAATATAGTTCGCTGATGTTTTTACACAGATCGAATACCCTGGTTCTGATTGGTTAAAGTGTTTTGTTCGATGTTTTTCGTAACTAAGGCCAGAACACATTCGGTGACAATATGATCACGACAAATCTCTGCAATACACAACATATTGTGTTGTGCTTCCAAAACTAGCTGCCGCGAACCACCAAACTCAAACCAGTGACGTATTGTAGGCAGGAAATTATATTACAGCTGCAAAGACTTTCACATATTTTGAAAATTATCACTACGATTTGTAGCCTCATGTCTCGGCATTGAACATTCAAAATGCGCTCGTAACTTGCTGAAAAACCGGACCAAAGTATTCAAGTTTTTGTCAAGTTACCGAACAGAGGCATTTTTTTTTTTACGATTGCCATACATGTAAATATACATTATGAATATACATTATGTTTTTAATATATAATATAAATGAAAGAGTGTGGAATTATTTCAAGTTAAGATTTTGTATAGGAAAGAGTGTAACAGTTAAGGAAACTAACGGAGAAAAGGAATTAAAATCGTGTACTTATAACATTGCGGTCAAGTTATTTGAGGGCTTGAAAACCCTCCAAATCACTGCAGCTTGCGGAAGTGCCGTCATTTTTTGCGTTTTCAGGAGAGCGTGGAGCAACATGACGATCTCCATTGCGCTCAAATCATCGGAAAAAGCCCTTGGGGTAATAGTCACACATAGCGTTCACGCTTCAGCGCCCGAGTAGAATTTAGATTAAAACACGATTTTTCCGTCGTATCAGGACGTTAAGTCAACCTAGTAGGAATTATAGAAACCAGAATGAAATAAGCAAGGTCGTCAGTTCGCAAAGAATTGCAATGAAGGGCCCTCCCTCACGCCCTTTCTCTGGTGAAATCAGTACTTCGGTGTCCCTTGTGCTCCTCGACAGGGACCACTTATCCCATACCTTGCATTGATACTAATAATTCCAAGGAAAGGGTTATGAACTATAGTGTGCGTGATATTTTGATTTTCTTTTGACTCCCTTATCACTGAAAAAAAAAAATCAACAGTTTCCACACAATGACATGGAAATGAAGCGAGTCCGAAAATCGAGAAACTTCTACTCCCAAAACGACGTCACAAAACATGCAACAGTGTGTTATGAGAGGTGTCTTAATGTGCATATGGCCTTAGGCTTCATCCGGGTACAAATAAAAGTCAACGACAATAGTAGCCTGAGAAAAGCAGCCGTCCTTTCGCGGGGAAACGAAGGGAGCGAAAGGACGGCTGCTTTTCTCAGGTTACGACAATAGCAAAGGAGGCTTTTTTCGAATTGAGAACACCAAGTAAATCTTTACTGCTGACGTGTGCTGGAAAATAGAAGTAAATACAAGGTTCAGCTAACTCTTAAAACTAAGGAAAATAAAGAATAATTTCAAAGACGATAAATTATTGACGCTTGAGTATTGATTAACAATTATTTGACGTGATCCTAGTGTGTACCTCAAAAAATTGCCGAGAACTTGGAGTCAAATTAAGACATTGAAAACATGAGTAACCAAAACGGTAGTCGGTAAGGAAAAATTCAGAAGAAATGAGGTCATTAAATAGGAAGTCCACAATTTTGATACCGCCCTTGCTAGTGGTACTGCTTTCTCGACTGGCCAGCCCAAAACTGAGTGGTTTGATAATCACGAGAGACTGATCATGAATGCTCAGTGTGGATCAGTCTCAGAGAAACTTTTGTAGTGCCATTCATTTTGTCTTCTCTTTAATACCTGTAAGTATTTTTTCTAAGTTTTTTTTAAAACGGTTATAGCTTTCTGTCATGTTAAAAGTGTGATATCGTTATCAATTTCGTTCCCTGGATTATCTCCCTCGTTGAGAAGAATATAGCGGAGAACTCTCTAGTGATAGTATTCTGGTATACCAGTCAGACTGTCCTGATATCAATTAAGGGAGACACATCAAGCTTTCTCTACCTGGTTTGTCACTATCAATCCTTGTCATTGTCATCACCTTTTACCATTCACCCCTTCTCTTTAATATCTTCTTCTTAACCATACTGATAATTTCCGATTTAGCAAGTCACGACAAACGACTCAGACTAATGTAACTGTAAAATAATGTCGATGCAACGTCTCTAACCGTGGCCAAGAATGCCAAAGATTAATTAATTCTAATAAATACTGGTGATAACCTAACGTAATTGCTAGTCGATGTTCGCTAGCAAATTAAACTCTAAATAAAATTAATGGCGTCAATTGGTTATAAAAAAAAAACAACTATTTGAACCAAACGGCACATTTTTCTGATCCAATGTGGAGGTCACTCGTCGTACATTGCAACTGTAACGCAAGCCCAATCTCAAGCAAATTATCCAATTTCTGTCCACTGTCCTATCTTCATTCCATACTGTAAGGAATAAACAAAAGATAATTACTCCATACCAAGTAAATTCAAATCGGTAGCAGGTACACCCTTACTCTTCGAGGAATCCCCTAGATACTGACAAGACAGAACACCTGATAAAACTCAAGGGAAGCTTTAGTAAAGAACGTCTAGAGAGGGAGAGAGTTATTGGGAAAGTTAATGGGAACAATTCACCAGGTGGTATATGATTTTTGGAGGATCGCACGGTTTTCATGGGAAACGGAGGGGGTAGGGGAATCAGTCGTCGCCGATAGAGGATGAAGGTAGGACTATAAAAAATTGACCGCCAATTAACTGCAAATGATGGGGTAGGGGGAATCTTGAGGTGAGATTAGGTAATTATCCTGCGCAGGAGCTTCCATCTCAGTTGCTACCCTTGAGTCAACCCTGTCCCGTATCTTTTTATTTTCAGAACTGAGATATCTGCGGGGGTTCTTTAATCTTTCCGCCATTATTGAAACAATTTCGCGCGGCCTGCAAGTGACACATTAGAGACGTAACACAATAGAGACGACAGCTCTCTTATGATTGGGTATTATAAAAACACCCGCGAAAACCGCCGTGGGAGGTGCTTCTAAAAATAGAAAGATACGGGACAGGGTTGGCTCAGAAGGTCAGGTCAGTATGGAAGATGGAAGCTCCGGGTAATGGGCTCCT